AAATTATTTTTACCATCATCTTTAACATGTCTCAAAGTGTGGGAAATGAATTTAAAATGTCAAAAAATCATGAAAATTAAGCTCTTAAAAATCAATTGAATTTTAAGGCTGATTACAGTATTCGGAATGAACCGTTGAGTTTTATGGAAATTGAATGTTACCAGTAAATTCTAAACACTTTCAAATGTAGGAAACAACTTTCAAATTTCAAAAAAGCAGAAAAAATAAGGTAAAAAAATTAATGCAAACAATTGAGTGAAAAAGTGAAGAATTAAATAAAAAAACGGTGTCAAATGCAGTATACAAGATGGAGTTCTCACTTCGATGCAAAATAATTTTTACCATAAATTTATACATGTCTGAAAGTGTAGGAAAAAAGTTTAAAATGTGAAAAAAGAATGAAAATTGAGCTCTAAAAATTTAAGTGAAAAAATGGGTGTAATTGCATTATTAAAAATGATCCATTCATTTTTATGAAAATTGGATTTCGCCATAAATTTCTACACACTTAATAATGTAGGAAACAACTTTAAAGTTACACAAAATCTTGAAAAATGAGGTAAAAAACCTAAAGCAAACAATTAACGGAAAAAATGAGTGGAAAAAAAAAGTAAGAATCAAAAGTCATTTTTATGCAAAATGGACTTTACCATTAAATTCTACACATTTTTTAGTGTAGGAAACAATTTTAAAAAATTAAAAAAAAATCAAAATTAACAGCAAATAAAATTAATTAAAAAAGCGGGTTTAAACGCGGAATGCGCGTGTGCTGCGCGCAGCAGAAACCGCGTCAAAACGCGGAAAATGCGGGTTTTTTTATTAGGGCCCATAAGATAAATATAAATATAATATAAATAAGATAATTTAATAATAATGATAAGATATCAAGAGGTAATGGTAAACAACATTATGGATATGTACTTATGTACATAAGTACAGGTGTTTCAGTTACTTGATACATGAAAGGTACTGTGATATGTACAGTTGCGGATGGCAAAAACCGACCATGCCCCGCCCGCAAAATCAAAGATTGACACGCGGGGTCTATGCCCGGGGGGGCATGTACCCCGATACTTATTTTTATCACAATTTTGAACTCCTAAAGATGTGTAGAGTTCAAAATTGTAACCACTAAGCTTCTACTGCAGTGGTTCTTTTTTTTTATTTGTGTGACATACATGTATCCGGACATGCATACCAAAAGCCATACTTAAACCCATAGTTATGGGTTTAAGTTAGGCTTATTCATGGTCTTATACCTCTTCGAGGTCCTTCAAGTGCCTGTAGCATCAACTTGGAGTGTTTATTCGACACTCTGAGCCAGTTTTATATTGATCTTTGGCCCCAAAAGGGCTGGAAAACCATGTAAATACAAAAAAAAATTCAATTTTTCAGCTAAACTATTCGGACATCCTGCAAATCCAGGGTCGGTTTTTGCCGTCCGCAACTGTACTCTGTGGCTGACACTGGTGGTTTTGTTTTTTATTTAAAGTGATTGGGGATCCAACTCCCAAACCCGCTGAAGGGTTTGGGGGATCAACTCCCAAGACTTGGGGAATCCGGGGGAATTTCCAGGGGTTTGGGGGTTTAGGAGTTGACTCTTCAACTTTTGGGAGTCAATTAGCCAAGACCCAAAAAGTATTGAGTGTTTGTCATTAAATTTCACAAGAGTAAACATGAAAGCTAGGCACAGGCCCACAGATCACATGCATGAATTCATTTTTTCCACACTGCATATAAGTATGAACTTTTAAATTTTCTATTGGATGATGAATATTTCTGCATCAGGAGTTGCAGCTCAGTGGTAATTACTGTACTACAATCTGATTTTGATGAGACACACAAGATTTCATATGTGTTACACCTAAAAACACACAGGCAAAGGGGAAAAAATTGCAAAGAACAAATCCACTCTTGTAAATTAAGGTATTACAAGACTTATTCAGTATGCAGGTCTCTTGAGTTGAACAGTTTTATGATGGAACCAACAACAATTGATCTACTGTGGAGTAGGTGGAAAGAGAAAAAAGGTATTACAGTAGGTTTTATGTTCAGAATAGTACACAATGAGGAATAGTTATGTTAAAATGTCTATGCAGAAGAATCATAACAGCAGGCATTGATGGTTGAAAAAGTGGTCTAAGGCAGTAGAAAGGTGCTGAATTCCGTGGTATAAGTCAAGGGGTGTAGTTTGCTTACTTGTGTTTGGAGCTGTTCGCTAGCCTCACTAAACTGTGTAAGCAAATCTAAAAATAAAGTTTTGAATAGATTTTCGGGTGGATGGCAATCAAGCCCGGACGCTGAAGGCTCGTAGTAACTGGCTATGAAAGCTGAAGAGGAAAATAAATACTCAGCAGGTGCATTGATCCACTTCCTAAGTTTTTCGACGGCGTATTCTGGTGGTCCGTCCAATTCTTCTATCCAGTAATTCACATACACAAGAGATTTATAAAGCCGGTTCACTTGAGAGTGTAACGATAAAATTTGCCAGGAGCTCATTTGAGCACCAAATGTGATGCGTGGTTTGCTTGCTGGAGTGCTCGTTATTCTCCTGTAGAATATCCTGACCAACTTTATGATAGGAATGGTCGCTTGGCGAAGACTGAGTAGTAGTGGGTGTATAGGCTCCTTTTGATTGATACGCTCGGTTTGTTCTTGAAGAAAGTAGTCGAAGCGTTTTAAATGTAGCTGCCAACCTTCTTGAATGATGTCGTGGTCCGATCGTTTAGAGTATCTCATCATGCCGTCGATGATATGAAAGCATTCCTCAGTCTTGTCCACTATTTCATCTTTGTGGTGAAACCGAGGCCAACATTCCTCGAGGCAAAACTTTTCACAAGCGCGAAACAACATGATGAGCTCGTCAGATTTGAAGCGTTGGTGCTGTCTCCCTAGGTAAGCGATTCTGAATTTCTTCAGAACGCCGTAACTACAATCTATGCGGCTAGCCTGATACAATGGATCCAACGGTGCGAGGGATTGGATGGCCATGCTAAGCAGAATGATGTTGCCTACAAGGTCAGATAGGATCTGCAAGCAACCCCTGAGATCAGGCTCGCCGGCGTCAATGTTCAGTGATTTCAGCAAATCGGCCAATTGCTGTCGCACTTGCGGCAGGAAGCCCGTCTCAATTTGAAGCAGGACAGCTTTGTGGGCGTTCATGTCATCGGCTGACAAGACTTGTTCAGTAAAAGCGAAACCTCTACTCTCATCGTCTTTAAGGATTGAGAAGGTTGCACCACGAAATGACATAGCCAGTACGCGTAGATCTAGATGGGAAGAATCGGATATATTGAATAAATTTGGGATCAGCCAACACTACTCGAAGAGTTCAATGAAATTTGGCGAGTGGAATTGATGTACCGTCCAATTTAGACTCGGAGAGTGACATGGCGGTGGATCAGTTTTATTTTTCGAGCGGTAACTTCTTCCTTTCGAAAGGTTGAAATTTGATGTATCCAGTTGTGGAATTGGTTGGGAGCAAGAATGGTAGGGAGGGGACGAACAGTGGTGTGTGACGACCAGGAAACTCACTGTCCCCTGCTTATAAAAGCTATATGATCAAGCCAGGTAGTGGCAAGAAGAAAAAGAGCAAAAGGCAAGGCAAACCACCTGGTTAGATCCGCATATAGAGATACATGCGTACAAACGTTAACAAAAAGAATGGTTTCGCGGAGGCCAAGACAACGATCAACAAGGAATCAGGCTCGCCTCCTTGATGTAGTAATGGATTACGAGAGGAACACGGGCTGATTGGAGCTGGTTAACCCGGAACCGGCAATCATTATATTCACTAGCCGCACTCTCGACAAGCGACTAGGAGACTCATGAAGGATGATCTGATGGGTTGACGAGCCTTCTGGAATGCTACATGATAGGCGGGCTGAACCTTGCAAGGCCGGGGAGGAATATAGTAAAACCGTCGGCTGCAGCTGACCTATTGTTGGCCGGGCTAAAAGAATGAAGACGGCAGAGTCAGTTTGTCAGACTGGGCCGGGGCGGCATTATCATCCTGCGATGGCGCAGATGGCAAACTGACCAGAGCCAGTCCCAGTAGAGTTGAGATACCCAGAGGATGTGGCTCCGAGTCCGGGGATCTGCCGGGACTGGAATATTTTTGAAACTCCAAGCAACCGAATCAGGACATCTTCTGGCTGTCTGACAAGCTTGACCCGGCTTCCTTAGGATCCATGAAAACTTCTGCTAGGCCAGAACATCCATGCTGATTGGTCCGGTTAAGGTAAGTTAACGGGAAAAAAAACGAGCGTATCGCAACCGGTTAATTAAGACCCGGTCACACATTTGATCCGGTGAAAGCAAGACTCGTTAGATCTGACGAACCCGGAATGACTCAGGTCTGGTGGACCGTGGCCGGCCTATAACCCCGGTCCTTTCACCGATGAGTGATCAGGGCCAGTGCGAGCTGCAAGAGTCGCTGGCTGGCCAGTAGGGGCAACACCATGTGCGGTGATTCCTTCCCGGAGACCCTCAGGCCCAGCACCTTGCAGGGATTGGACGACGGGTGAGATACTTTAGCGTTATGCATCTCAGTCATCATCGGTCATCGAAAGAAACACGCCCCCATTCACCTCCAACGGCCAGCTCGGTGGTTGAAGGCGAGTTGGCCGGCAGGCCTTGACCTCCACCCACCAACACAGGGCGGTAGAAGCTTCCGTTAATCGACGGTAAATCAGCTGCAGTGACCTCCAAGAACTTTACATATTTAGATACTCCCAAAGGGAATATACATATCTGATCAAGGACAAGAGCGTTTTTTATGGGAAGCCGGCGGAAATAGTACAGAAACAAAGCTTGGTTGCTTGAAGGTCGTCTGAGTAAATATGTAACCGACCACACCCATCAGCGGCGATGTGGTTAAATACGCATCTCACAGTGGGCCGGACACCGCATCCTCTCTTGTCTCTCGCATTCAATTTCCACAGCTGACTGACTCCTTAACCCAAAACCAAGCAGACAAAAATACTGGCCAATACCGAAGGATGAGTCCCAATGCTGATAGTAATACCAGAGCCCAGCCGACATACTTGATTGGAACGATCGGTATGTTGATGAGCGACGAGCCAAACTCGTGTGTTGAGATTCACTTGGAGAAACGATTGATCCAAGGAGAAGATGAAAAGGAAGGTTGGAGGAAACACCGACAATGGACGGCGGCCGATATGCAGGGTGCGGCTCGCTTGAACCAGCAGCCAGTCCATTTAATCATCAGATTCCGCGGAACTTGGTCACAGGGAATCGCCCATGACCTCAAGACGACTCTGGAGGCAAAGCTCCATGTGGACATTTACAAGCCCACCTTCAACAGAAGTGACAACAGCTGGGAGTTTTGCGACGGCGTACGGGCTGATCTACTGATTGGAAAGGCCAATTCGAACCCATCATCGTGCTACGTCAAGAAAATCGACATAGGTCAGAGCTGTCATTGATAATGGTTTCTCAGAGGAAAGAGCATCCAGCTGATCCAACACTGATTCTTTCCACATTTGAGACTCTAAATAGATTCTCCTATTTCCAGCAATCCGTCTGGGCGATCACCCCGAGCTGTACCCTTACTTGATCATGTACGCATCCCAACCACGATCCACTCCGAGCAGGTGGTGCAACCCACCTCACTAGGCCGCAGGGAGACTAAGGAGTTGCCCGGACCACAATCAAAACCAACCCAGCTAGCAGCGGAGAACCGCTTGAGTGGGAGCCGAAACATTGATCACAATCAGCCTCCTTTAAAAGCTCCACCAGCCTTGTCATCAGGCAGTCAAAACTCACGTAAACGTGCACGAATCCACTCTAGTGAATCAACCCCACCAATCCTTCACCCTCATCAAAATCCCGATCAGTGCCGGACGTCGCCCCTCCCCATTTCTGCCACCTCCAATGCTTCAACGCGTCCTGATTTTGCTGGCCAGACTTGCTCGAAGACCCCAAGGAATATTCCCCCAAAGGTAAATATGCAGATTTGTATGCATACATATACACTTTGCTCATACATGTGATCTTTCCTAAACAAATCAATTCCACAAGCATTTGCCTTTGAAGACATTAGACGATTTAGAAAGTGTGAAAGCAGATCCGAACGAACGGTTCAACGTAATAGCGATTATCCATCACAAAGACGGGGCAACACACAACTCGTCGAGAACAGAAGCAAATCTGGACATGACGGTCAACCTGCGCGACTTTTCACGACCAATTGACAAGGGGTCTGTGCAGTGCGACTTGTCTTGGAGGCCGGAAGTGGAAGACTTATCATGGGCAGCGTCGGGTGATGATTTAATCAAGGTGATATTCCTTCACAAAGTCCACAGAGAAAACTCAAAGAATGGCCTGGTCAAGATTGTCGGCCAAACGGACTCCTCTCAATATGCCGTCTGGTCTCCCGTCTGCGACCGCTCAGCCGACAAGTTCTACTGCTCCAATCAAAACCTTGAGCAATTCAGCTCCTTCTTTGGCTTCACCACTGCAGGTCTGAAGGCTAAAGCCCGCACCCTTTATCAAGAACATGAAAAAGAAACCACACCCGCAGTCTCTTCGACCGTCCATTCGGTTCCCACGAAGATATCTGAACTTAGTGTTCTTACTGCTAAAGAAGTTGATTTGTGTGTTGAGGTGAGCATTTCCCCCCCCCCCCCCATGTTTTTTTTTCAAGAGAGATATAGAGAAGACTCCGAGAAATATCACTTTGATGGCTTAAGATGATGATTTCGCTCGGTTGGAGCATGTGATGACAACAATTGAATTGAATCAGAGCTTCTTATTCCTCACGTCTCCGTAGATTGTAGATATTTGGGTTTCATATACAGGAAAGCATCGGATCACGGTGACGGACTATACGGAAAATAAGAGTCTGAAAATGTCAATGCCGGATCTGACAAGACCGGTGGGCATTTTCCATCGGCAACATGGGGGTGACGATCTGAATTGGCCGGTGACAGCAGGGCGGTTTCTAACTATCTACGTCCAGTCGACGATCCTAGAGGTGATCTACCAGCGATTTAATCCGACCGGCTCCCGTGAAATGCCTTCTCCGGATGACTGCCGTCAAATATTGATTGGTAAGGTTGTCCGGCTGAACCAGCTGCACATCTGCTTCCCCAAAGGCCAAGGCCAGAATGCCCAAATCGAGATCTATGCCACCATGGACAACGTCAACCAGTCTGAAACCGACTTTATCGCTTCCCTTGCTAAAAGAATTATACCACCCTCCGAGTCCGACCCCGCCTTCAAAAAACTGTCAGATAACAAAGAATTATATGAGGGCGAAATGAATAAACCTGTCTAAATACATATACATATCCCTGTCCTTGTTTCCAATACATGTGTCTTAATTTCTTGCTGATCTTCATTTGTTCCTCATCTTTTCCAATGCACAATGGCTCTTATAGCTAACCCATTTTCCTGATACAAGATTTTTCTACTGGTTTTCATTTCAACAAGCCTCCCATCATCCTCTTCCACAGCTGTGTTGACACCTCTCCCTCTTGAAGAGAAACATAAAAGTTGACTGCACATCTCTGTTCACAAAATTATGCAACAAAAAAATAGAATACAAGAAGCTACATTTGTTTCCTATTTCTGTGTTTGTTTTGATGAAAGCCATCTCTTTCATTCTTTATTCCCCTTCAAAGCAGTTTTTATTGTGAGATCACAATTTCAAAAAAAGGGGGGGGGCTGAAAAGAGACGGCTTTTCCTCATCTAGATGCATTTTGAGCAGAAACAACATTGAAACTGAGGCGGAAAACACACTGTTTCCTGTGCACACATGTGGTTTTTGTGGTAAAACTTGTGTTACATGCATCCAACTTGCCGCAGCACGGTACCTGAGATGTCTTGGAAGATCATTCCAAGTCATATTTGAACTCACTTCTTCAAGGAACCATACACTTCAGAGTCTCAGTTTCCAATAGGTTATGAGCCCTTAAGGACTCTCACTTATTGGAGGACTTCCGGTCAGTTCTGGCTGATGAAACACACTGGTTCAGAAAGTGAGTGTGAGGAAAGGATGATTAGCATTGCATTTGATAATCAGACTTGAGACCAAACAAAAGAAAAGAAAATGAACATGAAACATAAAATGATGAGAAAGAACTTACCTGGTTCAGAAAGTGAGTGTGTGGAAAGGATGAGGAAAGGAGTCCTTCCACCCACTCACTTTTGTCCCAGGTAATACTACAATATCTGTGACATATGAGTGAAAGGTATGTAGCAGACTAAAACAGACAAGAGAGACATGAAATGACAGCTCAAAACTGGGACCCTCATAGAAGTTGGTCTAGACCCAAAAACTCTTGATTCTTGCAGAGAAATTTGAATTTCATGGCTCTAAACCGGCTCTGGGAGACTCACAGATGTTGACGGGAAGTTTCCCTTTGGTTCTCCAAATTTAAACTCTTTCATCTTCATACTCTGCAAATATACTGTATTTGAGCCATGGATTTCCCGCATGTTTTCAAATCTGGGTAATGTGGCTTTGTTACTGCAATGTGGAGTGTAATCCTTGTCCATATGCCATTTGTTTCCTTTTCCCGCTCTCTAAAACCCTCCTGGAGGATTTTTAGATAATCATATCAATTATGCTAGATAGACTAGCCTTCTATCTATTACGGTTTAGTAGCCCTAAAACACTACAGAAAGCCTAGTGATAATACATAAAACTATAACCTGTCATGTGAAGATTGCCATGGTTTGCGGTAGACTTGTTTCCATCACATGAAATATTGACTCATCTTTATGATTTTTTTGAATAGTATTAGTAGGTCTTGAAACTTCTTTTTTTTTTTTTTTTTTTTTTGATAATCATGAATCCGCTTTGTCAGTTGATTAATTTGAGTCTTTTTGAGTTTCTTTCCGTTCTGAGTTGGACAGAATTTTCAACAAAATTCTTCTGGAATTCACATAACGACCACAGTTGATCAGAACCCTCTTCCAGAAAATCACACATCTTGCCTTGTTTATTAAACCATTCCAATGACTCATCAGAGGTGACTATTTTGTGGTATGTTTCTTGAAATTCAGAATGATCTTGGGATGCTTGTTGATTAAATTTCTCAAGTATCAAGACAATCTTATCACATGACTCCTCAGTGATGTACAATGTTTTAAATTCTTGATTGGTTGCAATCAAATCTGCAAGACTTTGTGTCATTGCAAGTGATTCAGAAGCTTTTAGATAAGATACAATCAATTTCTGCTGTCGTTCAAACTCTTCATAATTAACAAACATCCTTCCACAGGCTTCTTTGACTAGACCTGGAAAATAGTTTGATTCGATCAGATCAAAGTAAGCATGAATCAAGAAATAGAGTGAACTTCCATCCAAAATGTTGTGGATATGGGAAAATGGTAAACTAGTAGTAGTGTGACTCTTCTGAACAAGTTTCAGTAAGCATTTAATGTCATCTTTCAGGTCTTTTGGGGCATCAAGATTTGAATGAATGTTCCTTCTTTGATTGGTTGGACTTGAACTTGATAGATTTGATTCTAATCCAATGATGTATTCCTGGCTCTGAAATGATTTGGATAATTCTTCCCACCCTGGGAATGTGTTGAATCGATTGACATTGGAATAAAAGTAGATTTTCTCTGCAAGGAATGAGATGTTAATCATTCTTTCTTCTTGTCTGCCCAGAACTATTTATGTTAATGTAAGAAGAAAAGAAAAGGTTCAGTTCAAGAATTCGAGTACATTGATATTTTGAAAGTTGAAGAAGATAGAAGAGAGACAAGTATTAGATTACCATTAAAAGACTCATTCAATAGCGGCCAGTAGGGATGTTTGGTGATTGATAAATAATCACCCAAAAAATCATCTTTGGATTTATATTCATCTTTGAATCCAGAAATAGCATAGTAGATGACTTCCTTGATGAGTACCGGATCATGAAATGATCCTCTTACAGCTTCTCGATTGATGAATCCATTCTTGAACAACAAATTGAGGGTTTGGAACAGATAGATCCGCGCGGGAACGTTCCACAAAAACGCTGGATCAGACGATGTTAAGAAGCCCTGGAATTGCGAAGCGCACTTGATACTCAAAGCCTTCATTTCTCTCCACATACTCTTGCCATACTCTTGCCAGAATTTTCCGGCAATCATTCGAAGAATATCTGGATGAAAACTGTCGAGTGATTTTGATTGTTGTCCTGGTAGATCATTGACAGTTCCTTGTTGGTTGAATAAACCGACTGGTTCTTCAATTAGTCTTAGATTTGAATACGAATCAACTTGTCCTAGCTCCAATAGCCTGGCTTGTTTGATAACAAAAATGTGCTTTTTAGATTGCTCAAGAAGTTTTTTTGCCGATGAAAAAACGTCACGACTGGTTATAGTTTCGAACCAAGCGCACAGCTTTTCCATCTTCAAGTGAAGCTCCCAAAGCTTCTTGGAAGCCACACAAAGCGAGATCACGTTTTCTATCAATCCACATTTATCTGGTCTCAATCAACCCTGCACCAAATAGTTTATCATTGAGGAAATCAAAGCCGTACTCGCCTTTATTTCCTTCCCAATTCTTGATGATGGTTGAACCTGGACAGGAGAATTGTGATGACTCTCTCAACTCTATAATATCACCGATGAACAACAGGCTTCAAGAATCCGGAATGAACTCACGCTCTCGAGAAGACAGAGATTTCAACAGAGGTGAGGTCTTGATCAACTTTTCAAACAGGGAAGCTTGATACGGATCTTGGCTGTTGTCAGTACGTTGTGGAACTTTGTCCGAGAACACGACCAAAGGGTGTCGTTCTTCAAGGTCATCTTCCCATGAAGGATTGATAATTGTTTTATCCCGTCGAGTACCAACAAGCCCTACGATTATGATAAGGATCTCCCAAGAAGTAGTTTCGATTCAGCAAGATTTCCGCTGTTGAGTCGGGATTGAGTGTGGTGCCGTCCATGAGGAAGAATATCTCACCTGTCTGCACTTCAGCTGGCTCAAGTTGGAACGGCGGTCTGGCATCCATGCCACACCCAATTGTGATCAGACAAACTAGGATGAACTGGAACCGCATTCTCTAGTTACACAGTGATGGTTGAAGACCGAAAGTGTCTGGAGAATGGAGACAACTGAAATGCGCACCATACGCAGCCATACCCTTGTCCATGTTTTTTTTTGCAGTCTCACTTCCTCAATCTTGTCTCATCTGAATATTAAGAAATGTCTGTCTTTCCCGAAACTTGAAGCCTTACCTTAGTGTAACCTTGAAAGAGCTGAGGTGGGACGAGCTCTTGGTGGCTGGCTCGACTGTTTTTTTGTGCGGACTGCGAAACATCACAGCGTATCAAAACATGGACTTTTTATCCGGGTATGAGCGATTACAGAGTCTTAGGTAAACAGGTCACCCACTGAGAGATCAGCTCAACACATACACAATTCTACAGACAATTCGGTTGATGTCTAAGTTCGTTATTATAAGGAAGATAGACACCAGGACTATGTAACTCTTGGCGTAAAGAGGTTTGTCGAGAGCACCCCAAGATAAATCTTCAGCCAGGTCGATCGATTTAACAAAATAAGACATCAGTCAGGTTTTGACTCGAGCGTACAAGGACGATGGTTGATGACCGATGATTTGGATAAGACATGAGATCTTTCCTCATTCCCGTTTCTTGAGGATATAGCTATATATATGTGCGTGTGTAGTTTAATTGTGCAAATTGGAGGCATGATAAAGCTGGAGCGACGCTTGGGATTGATTACTCGATGTAGAAAACGTCCGATCCTTTTGATTTCTCGTATGTATAATATGAATTTCGATTGAGTCAAGAAGATTCCTTAGCTGTTTTCTCTAATTCTTCCTTCAACTGGTCGCGATAGAAGCCGGACCAATAGACATAACCATGGATGATTCCATTCGTGAGGGCGAACGCAGAAAGTGAGATCGGGAACAGGCTGAATCTCGTCCTTGGTGGTCGTGCGAATGTATGTCTCCAAGAATCCCTTCCGTATAGAAATAGGTAAATTATACTCCAGGCTTTTGATTATGTAGTCGTCGTGCGTGGAGGAGGCGGAATAAGGGGTCCGATGATCAGAACAAAGACATCATCAGTATATGTAGCTGCTTTAACGAATGGCTTGCGGGTTCCCATGGTCCATGTAGGAGAATGAGTCGTAAATCTTGGTCGTTCAATGCTTACCAGAAGCTGTACCGGAACCGTTATAATAATCACCTGCTGAAGTGATATAGCTACAATTCATGTGCAATGTTAGATGGGTTGTTGGATATCTACATAGGAGAGTCTCTTGTTGTTTGCATGTTCATTAGATCGGGAGCTCACTAACCCACTCAAGCCAAAGACCATCGCCAACGGGGTGACTTGCCAGGTGGGCGCGAGTCCAGTGGGATAGAGTGCACTTGAGAGTCGGCTGGTCGTAGGGAGAGAGGCCATCACTGGAGATTGTATCACATCAGAAGAGATGCCATTCAGATCGGTTATGTATTCTCAAGATGATGTCCACACCGAGCACTTGAAGCGAGAGGACTTACACAAGCCGCTCATGGACCATGCTGGCCAGGGCGAGGAAGAGCCAACAGCCAGAAATTCGGCTAGCTTGTTCGGCGGATCTTCGGTCTCGGTCGGTTTGTTTGCTGGCTCTTCATTCCGACTGGCTGAAGCTGTTGCTGTGGTAGCCTTGGAGGTTGATGGCGCAGAAGCCATCGCAAGATAGCTATGCTGGTTGGTGGGGAAAGGCCGGAGACTTTTGAGGGAGCCGGGAGCAGTGACGGTGCGGTGAAAGCTCTCAAGGGGTGAGGGATGCCCTGCGCTGGAAGCTCATGCCGGACAGGAGTGGGTCACCGTACAGGACTGGGGCACAACCTATATGTATACACAAGCTAAAGCAGGCCGTTTCTGGCTGGTGGGTTGTAGCAATCAGAGTGTAGACTTGTATTCTCAACAAGGAAGTTCAGAAAAGATACTGGGGCCAATAATGATGAGTAGTTATCATTGAAAAATTGAGAATAAAACGAGTTCATAGATCTACACAGTACAATACAACGAAGTGGAGAGATAGAGCGGAAAGGAAATGTGGGTTTCAACCATCAAAGCACCCAAGACCAGCCCCAGGAAGAGGAGCATCATGGGTGGGGCCGTCGAGATGGGGAAGCTGAGGCAACCCCATCGAGGCAAGTTCCTAGCATATTTCCTCCCTCTATAAGTAAGGCTGATCGGGTGGACAGTCAAAGGAAACCATCAGGACGACAGGACTGTTGTTAGTCGCAATCGAAGTCTGCTCGTGTAGGGGACGGGAACGCGGAATCCTCTCAGCTGGCGCACTGTCATCCGAGGATGAGAGGCTCAAAGTCCGAACCTGAGTGAATCAAACAAGATTGTGTTAGTGTTTGTTGAACAGAGATGGGGGTGTGTGCTGCAAAACTTACTTTTGTGTCCCCATTAAAAATTGTTCTGAGGAAAGGCCACCAACAGTCGCGGGGTGAGGTTTTATAGTTGACTGGACTGGTGGCTGAGTTGTGGGTGTGAGGGATGGATGGATATTCAATAATGAGGGTGTACATTACTATTATGTAGCTGAGGTTGTTGTTGTTGTACAGCCTCCTGTGGACACTGGATCTTGGATGCCATCGATCGGAGTCTTCTTCTCATCTCCATTTCGCAGGGAACAGCCTAGGATAGCCAGCCAGCCTCTTGGACGCCATTCCCTCAGACTCAGCCTTCCTTCGACCAGTCCGCAAACACCTGTTCGCTTAGGCCCATCCTTCCGATCCCATCCCATGGAGACACCCGTCACCCACATTCACAGTTCAGCTACAAAGTAGTACGTCCAACCATCCAAGTCTATTCTTCCTTGAGTACATATAAGAACACTCATAAACACAACATCCTTCCATCAGCGACCATAAGCCAACATGGTTCTTCGAAAACGGCCTGCGTAAAGTCAGACCTTACCTGTTCGAATTCTCAACTTATGCCAAGGTAAACAATACACATAAATTCCGGGACAGTCGATTCTGAATTTGAGCGGATGGCTTGCTCATTGGATTGATTTTGATAGGAAAGGTGGCGTGGCCGGAGCGTTATTGATGTCTTCAGGTTTGCACTCAGTTGCACTACAGCCTATCACGAACCGCTCAAATTTGCTGATCACGCCCTCTGATTGATCATTACTGCAGCACCGATTTTAGGTTAGCACTGCAATTTCCTGAGCGAGATCTGAAAGGCCACCCGGAGCCAGCGCAAAACTATATTGTGCCTCTCAAAGCTGAAAAGACGACTTTCATTTGATGATACCTGAAGAGATCGAAGCCCAGAATACTATGTTTGTGCTCCTACGCGTGTGAATGTGCGAAGAGTGATCCTGGACCAGTTGTGTGACTGATCATTCGACTCCTCCATCATCTAGGCGCATGCAGTGGCTTCAGGTAGGACTCAATGAAATCACTACTAGACTCAAGTCGGTTTTACATACTTAGCTGAAGAAGAATCAATATTAGGAGTCATCAAGATCAATGGGAAGAATATTAAGAAGGATGTTATCATCAGGAACGGCGACCGGATCACCAACACGCTTCATAGACACGAGCCTCCAGTCGCCGGAGATCCCGTGAGGATCCTGCATCGTGATGACGAGAAAGGCTTATTAGTTGTCGAAAAACCTGGCAGCATGCCCGTGAATTCCCTTCATCTTTCATCACCGTCGCGATATCATACTAAATCTTGAATACATTTCTATCATCCCCCCCCCCCCGTTTAGGTACATCCTACTGGACGGTATAACTATAATACACTACTGTCGATCTTGCGATTTGATTATGATCTACCACTCGTCCACAGTCAGTTTGACCGCCGCCCACTTCATTCTGGGACACCAATTTCTGAAAATCTTTCAATTTCTTTATAGCAAGCAATCGTCTCGATCGACTGACCTCTGGAGTCATGGTCTGCGCTTTGACGGTCGAAGCCTCTCGAGGATTGTCGAAATTTTTCAGCACCGAGGGCGCAGTGAAGAAAGAGTATATCGCTCGCTGTCGTGGAAATTTCCCAGAGTTGGTCCTCTGATCCAGACTTAATCATGAAACAAAATACTGACTCGGTTCGAATCCGCAGCGATGAGGTCACTTGCGAAGAGCCTCTGTTGACTATCGATCGACAAATCGGACTCAACGTTGTTCACCCTGAAGGAAAGGTGTGTCATTCAACAAAAGTGTAATGTTTGTCAACTTGTATGACGAGATCAAAACTGACCTTTTGGGACGTTCAGCACGCCAAGACGATCTTCAAGAAACTTAGCTATGATCCCGAATCAGACTCTTCAGTTCTTCATTGTGAGTGGCTAGTGGATGACTTTCGATTGGTTCGAATGGCTGGGACTGATTCCTTGCGTATGGAGGTCGACCCATCACCGGTCGCTCTCACCAGCTCAGAGTGCACTTACAATTCCTGGGCTTCCCGATCCTCAACGACACGATATACTGCAACTTGAAGGCGTGGGGACCATCGCATGGCAAGGGCGGGATTTTCTTCGCTCCCACCACGCAGACCGAATCCACAGCAGAAGATGAACCTGCGCCGAATGAGAGTGAAGGTGTGGCTGAAGGAAGCGGATATGTTGAGAAGACTGAGGACTCGAGGGTAAATCTGAACAGTCAGCAGAAGCGCCCCTCGAAATCGAAGCTCGGGAGGAACCAACGACAAGGGATCTCGCAAGTGAGCGAGAAGCGTGTCAAGCTGGATCCGGAGTCTGCCGAGGCGGGTAACTGCAGCGGCGTGCCGATCAACCAGCTCGCCTCGGCAGTCATCCTCGAGCTCAGAAAGGCTCGCGATGTCGAGGACGACTTCGGAAGAGTCAAGGATACGATCCATATCGATAAGGCCTTCAAGTCGCCCCTCGATCTCCAGGTGTCTGTCAACGCTAATCCCCAACCTAATCTGCCATTTGATGACAAGTTTTGCGCCGATTGCGGGATCCCTCTCTTGCCGGATCCCAAACCTGAACAACTTTATATCTATTTACATGCTTTCCGGTTAGTCCTTTTCTCATTCGGCTTTTTTTTTTGGTTGTTGTCCTGGGGCGGGGTTTCTGATTTGGTGGTGATACTTGAATGGATGGTTTGTAGATACCAAACTGATAGTTGGGATTTCAGTAGTGAGTTACCATGGTGGGCAAATGAACAAGAATGGAAAACTCGCAGACCCAGTCAATAGTCATGATGCTGTTCTAGTTAGAATCTCTTTCGAACATGTACATAACAAATTATTCTTCTGCACCTGTAATCCTAACTTGCTCGGAATCTCATCAAGATCTGAGAGTAATCATGAATTCCAATCAACGGAGAGGAGTGGTTGCAAGCAAGCTTCCTCGTTAACCTGTCTTTCCATTTGACATGAGTAGGTTGAAACTCGGAAGGGGAACTGACGAATGGGTATATACAGTGGGTGCTCAGGTGAAAATAAAGGCTCTGTAAATGGCGACCAGAAGTCCCTCAATTATCAAATTTGAGCTGAAGCTGGCCTCTAGAAACCAGTGCAAATGTGAGTATGCACTATGTGGTACTTCTTAGTCAGGATGTGTCTCAGCTCAAAATTGTCCGTTGGAACAATACACTCGAAATCAAGAAGATTATCTAACATTGCTAGTCCCTTCCGGTTCCCAACCATCACCCAATTAAAGCCATGATAAAAACTGAGAGAGAACTACAGTGAAGCCTGTAAAAGAATGAGAACATATAGACACGAACGAGAAAGAATGACCAATGCCCTGTGAAAACTAATGATAACTCAAAAGGAAACTGAAACTTCAAACTGGAATACTAAAATACATCAAAAAAAAAAAAAAATGCGATATATGAACACAATAGTGAGAAATGTGTGGGCCCGCACAGGAAAGATCGTGCGTGGCGATTTTCAGATAGCCATAGTCGTGACGTTCGGAATCAAGAAATATTAATGTCAAAGGAGAAGATAGCGTGTGTTACGCAATGCGATAATTGTACTACTGTCGTTTAGCCGAAGTCGACCGAATTGACATGGTACGTTTGGTAGGATCTGTGAAAGTGAGCACAATTTAAGCATTGCAGATCAAGTGGAAAGCTCCGATTGAGTGTATGTGACTTACGCATCATGAGTCCTTTGGGAGGCTTGACGCTTGATGATAAAAGCTTCTTGCGCAGAACCAAGACTCTGCCGCTGGCCCATAAGAGAATGAGGAAACCGAAGGCAATAGGAATCAGCCAGAACAAGGGCAAGATTCGGTGACTGGCGCCAAAGACCACTCTCAACGGGGGCACGTAAATGATCTGCAATGATGAAGGCGAAAAGTTTGATCAGATCAAATTCAACAGAAAGATGCATGTAGAAAAGGTTTGGCTACTTACGAATGCTGCAAGTACTGCACCAGCCAAGGCACCGACGAAGTTCCACTTGTTGCCGATGGCCGCCTTGCCGAATGGGAATTTGAGTTTGGCTTTGACGGCAAACATGTTGAAGCATTGCATGAGGAAGATGGACATGTAGAACATGCCCTGTGCTTGGGCCAACGCCTCAGTTTGATCTGTGCTGTCGATCACCCGACCGGCGAGGTTGGTGTAAGGAGGAGACTTGTCCGTGAAGTAAATCCCGGCTTTCTGCGCGAGTTGGAGGTCGCGAGGGGTGAAGTGGTTGTAATTGAAAATGACAAAGTAGGCCATCATGCACCCAACGGTTTCAATCATCCCCGCCTCTGTGGTCCACGATGCAAACAGTGGTGGTGAGTTGACTGAACACTCAGACCAAGACGAGGGAAAAAACTTACGGAGGTAAGAGTAACTAAGTAGGGAGCCATCAACCAAAGCTTCACCGTCAGATTTCTCAAGTAGATCATCCCACCACCATTTGGAAAACGGCTTCTTGACATTGTCTACGGCATTGCGTAGAGCGTGACCGATGCGGGATTGAGGTTTTTCGTTGCCTGCTTCTACATCCATGTGGTTAGTCCGGGTACGTCTGAGAGCCTTCTTCTTCAGTTGCATGATGCTTCGGTCAGTAACGGGCTTGCGAGGCATGGTAGTCATTAAAACTTCAGACGATTCGGGACAGTCCCAAGCGAAAGACAGCGCAGCAAATAATTCGAATCCCTATAAACGATTGAAGTTAGCAAGGTGTCGGGATTGATAGCTGATTGTTCAACTCACCAAGTCAATGACCAGAATCAGGATAGCAGACAGCGGTAGGGGGATCGGGACGATAACGTAGAGAAGCTGGGGGATGACTTCGGGGACGGAGTGGGTCACGGTATACTGGATACTTCGTTTCAAATTCGTGAAGATGAGTCTGCCTTCCCGGACCTGGAAAACACATCATGAAGGTGTTAATGTGGGAAAATTGGACGGCATGTTTAACTATTGTGACTGACCCCATCCACCACACTTGCGAAATTGTCGTCTAGTAGAATCATGTTGGCGGCTTCTTTGGAGACATCACTACCACTGATATTCATGGCAATTCCTGTGTGATGATTACGGGTTAGTAAGAATTTACTGGAAGATGGTGTGCTGAGGGAAAACAAACCTAAATCTGCCTTCTTCAAAGCAGGCGAGTCATTCACACCTACAATAAGGACGAGAGCCATTAGTGGGCGGGTTAAATCGATTGAAGTAAGTGTATTCACATACCATCACCAGTGACTCCAACAATGTGTCCCAAGGCCTGAGCGCGTTTGACAATCTCCAGCTTGTGCTTAGGCGACTGTAACAGCACAATGTTGTAAGCTCAAGTGTCGTGGTGTAAGAGAGAAGCAGATCTAATTACCGTGCGGGCAAAGACGATTTCGGTCTTGTTGAGGATGGTGTCCCACTCCCAACCTTGGAGGGAGTCAATAGCATCACCGTGAACAACGACTGCGTCGACTTCATCTTCGTGGATCTCTTCAACTTGTCGACCGGTGGCCTTGGCAAGCGACTCCTTCGTGTGACCGATGACCAAGTTGATTTTTCGCGCGATAGCCTAAATTGAAAGTGGATCAGTATATATATCACAGTGCAGCAGACAGAATTCTAATTACCTCAGCTGTAAGGGGGTGATCACCAGTAACCTGTGATCGAGAATGGAAGAGAGGTTAGCACTCGAGCTCCGTGTCAATACAGCCTGCCAAAAGAAGCTCACCATTACAACTTTGATTCCAGCGGACCGTAGCTGACCGATGGCCTCTCGGACACCATGCTTGGGAGGATCTTCAAGGGAGATCAATCCGACGAAGCATAGGTTCTCAGTGGGGCAGTTGTCGTCCTTCTTGCTGAATTCAAAGTCACGAGGGAATTGATCTCCAGGAAGCAAGAGTTGAGCGCATGCAATGACACGATGACCTCGAGAAGCCATGTATTGATAGGCCTCGCCGTAATCCTTCTTGAATTGTTCAGTAACCGGGACCGATTCACCATTGATCAAAACATGAGAACATCGTTCGAGAACTCGTTCCGGAGCTCCTTTCAAGTAGAGGGTCAAGTCTCCGTTGGCATGCGGCTTTTGTGAGACTACTAAGGCCCATTTGGCTGTACTGTTGAAGGGAATGGAGTAGGCCTCGGGGTGCTTTTCGCGGACTTGATCGAATTCGAGGTTTTTGCCAGCAAAGCGGGTCAGCCCGCTTTCGGTGGCATCGCCCAAGATTTCTCGTTGTTCGAATGGGATGTCCATCTTGTCAAACTTCACTTTGGAACACAAAGTGCAGATATCAAGTATTTCGCGAACTCCTAGGTCTTCTTTCTTGAAATGCTGCACCTCCGCCTCGTCGTTGTGACTCTCGAAAGCACTGCTCATCTTTAGATTGGTCCACATGGCCTGGTAGTGGATAAATGGCAGGGTGAGACATGGCAAAAAAAAGGGGAAACATTCAAGGAAGGACATACAGTTACTGTCATCTGATTTCTGGTCAATGTACCGGTTTTGTCGGTGGCAAGCATTGTCAAGGCACCTAGAGTTTCAACACCTTGCAAGTCTTTAACAAGCACCTTAGCTTTCGCCATGCGCTTGGCTGCAATGGACAATAAGAGAGTAACGGTGGCCGCTGAAGAGAGTAGACCATGAGTTAGCCACTTGGAAATGGATGAATCTTAAAAATTGCCGAACTCACGTAATCCTTCAGGAACCCAAGCTACTAAGACGGAGACGGCAAAGGTGACTGTGGCGGCAATCTTCCCTTTGTAGGCTGCAGGAGAACGAAAAGATGATATGTTTAGTTAATTGTTGGGGGTTGGCAGGCGGCGGTAAAACTTACTGGTTCCGATTCCCACACCGAAAAAGATGATGGCAGTGATGATCTGTAACAAACAACTTGATTGAGCCAGACCGAAAATTTGAAGCACGGATTTGATACACTTACAGCGATACACGAAATGATCTTGACGAAGTCATCAATTTCCTGGGCAAGTGGGCTCCTGAATGAGCAAGTAAAAACGTGTTAGTAGGAGTTATAATATTTGCGAGGGGAAGAGGGATTATGTACTGACTTGTTGTCAGCTTCGCCACCGGTCAATCCAGCAATTTGTCCAATGAATGTGTGATCACCTGTGCGAACAACGATACCAAAACCTTCACCTGATACCACAAGGGTGGAACTAAGAGGGAAATAGTGGAGAAGCATGTCAGAATCAATTGGGTGTCGCGTCTTTTCAAAGAAAGTGCCTTACTTAAATAGGAGATTGCGGGCTTCGACAGGGCGGACAGGATCTCCTTCGGCAAAAACAGATCTTTCCTGTGGCTCTGACTCTCCGGTCAACTATTCAAGGATCATGTTGAAAAGTTAGTCAGAAACATGTTTCTGCAAAGTTATGAAAAAAAAATTGAACTTACACTCGAGTTGTCAACTTTGACGTCCGAAGCAGAGAAAAGGACCAAATCGGCAGGGACTTTGTCGCCCATCTTGATGAAGACAATGTCACCTTTGACCAGCTCTTGAGCAGGAATGGAGCTGATTTCGCCTCCACGAACAATTTTGCACGAGGGAGGCATCATTGACAAGAAGGAGGCTAGGATCGCATCGGCCTTTTGCCCTTGGTACCCTGGAAGACGGACAACGATACATCAGTAAAAATAACACCTATGGCAGAAACTCATGTAGGGGGTCTTACATTCTATGAATGCGTTTAAAAACGCGACGATAATGAGAATGGCCCCCAAGTACTCATTGGCCTTGTTGTTCTCAAAATCTATCGCCAGTAAGACGTATTCCAGAACACCGGCGAGAATCAAGAGCACGTTGAATAAAGACAACAAGGCGTCAAAGTACTGCGGACGAGGGGAGATTTTCGCAATGAGTTGTTAGCCTGAATATACATAATTATTCCTTGGTTCTACATCGGGAAAACAAGCTCACCTTGCGCAGTGCACTCTTCTTCTTGGGTGGAGTCAATTGATTGGGACCATCTCGGGCTAGCCTGGCTTGTGCTTCTTCGGCTGTTAAACCGGAGCTGGCACTGGGGTTGCCAAGATTGATCGAGGTACCCATGGCCTCTGCGACCTTTGCAGGACTCAATTTGTGTTCAGACTGGAAGAAAGTTAAGACACAGGGTTAGTGATCGGATGATCTCAAAGTTAGAAATTTAATAACTCAACAATGTCCGCCGAAACGCCCTCGAGTGCTTTAGCCTTCATCTTCGACTCAAGCTCCTCATAGCCGGCATTGGCAAGCTCCTTCTCGTCGTGAGTAAGTTCCCGGCGCAGTCCTAAATCCCGCCCGCCCTGGATAGTTGCACTCATGGGCGGCTTTGGGTCGGCAAAAGAAATGCCGCCCGTGGGATTGGCAGTATTCAGCTGGTTAGTGCTCCGATCATGAAGCTCATCAATTCCAGCTTTCTCGGGAATTTCTTCAGAAGACATTGTGGTAGAGAAGGGGTGGTTGGTTGGTGGGGGCTAGAGTGTAAGCTTAAATAGATTGTCGATTCCAAGGAGTTGAGTGATTGATGTGACGATTTGGTGAGATAGGGGAAAAAGGGGCAATAGTGGTATATTGTATCGGTGGTCGAGTTTATTGATTGAAGGCGTGGAGCCGGGTGAATCGACGGAAGATCACGGTCGACGAGGGAGAAACCGAAGAGTTTGAGGGGATATGTGGGATGACGCTTGACGCAACGTAAAACAAAGGGCCTTGTCGGAAGGTTGGAGACTGGTCGAGAAGCGGGACGATGGTAGCTTTGATTCTTGGCAAAGCGGGGTGCAGGCGATGGAGATGGATCCCGAGGGGGTGAAGTAAAGTGGAGGTACAGGCCACAGAGTTTGAGATAAATGTGTGCGTAGGAGGGAAGTCGGAGCGCGTATAAAAGACACGGAGCCTGTATGGTAGACTATATATATATATATATATCTATGCTGGTAGAATACGCGCGGACCCAAGGTTGGAACGCTTGGATGAGAAAGAAAAGCGGCGTGTACTTGGACCAGTCGGACGAACTTCTTCTGGCAGGACAGAGGAGCGTCTTTAATTCGCAAGACAACTGAACTGCACAATGCGTATGATCAAGAAGCCAAGGTAGGGTATGCCCGATATGTACAGGCAAAGCCAGACTGCGCGAGGGAGCGAGAGTCGTAGCAATTGCAACGTTTTCAGAATTTTTGTCAAGGGTCTGCGCAAGACCAGGCAAACCATGACTGAGACTAAACTGGCAAATCTGTAATCCATACAATCCCATGTGTTTCACCAAAGATTTCCCAATTTCAACAAACTCATCAAGGCGCCCGAGCTTCTCTTGGCTAAACCCGGCTTGGACTTTCGTAACAAACTGAGGCCGAATTCGCAATTCATGCCATGACTGGGCCATCAAGGCTATTATGAGCCCTGAATACATGGTCTGGGCCGTGGACGCATACACAAATAACCCTGGTAGAGCCTCGCAGGTCAAAGCCAGCCCTTGGAACTTGCGCGACTGAACACGCAGCGCGTTTTGCATCTCAGTTCGAGCGGGGAAAACTTGAAACGGGTTTGCAACGAGTCCCATGGACGTATTACATATCATCTGTACGTCTGCACCCGTACGTGTCTTCGCTTTAGGATTGTTCAAGGAATTGTAGGATTTTTGTCAACGGACGATGAATTGCTTGCGGGGCTCGACCAAGCTCCAACAAGAATGGACTGAGCCTGAGAAACGTAAATATTTAGCATGCCGTTGATGTGGAAATCCTGCGAGTTGGCAACGCAGGGATTGCTATGTAGAACTTAAAGGATCTTCAAGGATTAGACTGGCGCGCAAAATCTCATGAGCATGGGCTAGAATCTGCTACATAGCATGGGCATCAACAGTGAACACGAATTAAAGTCTACAACATAGCGGCAGGCCTCAGAGTCAGCTCAGCTAAAACTCCGCTGATTAAAGTTGACAAAACCCTCCGAGCGGCTGCGTGCGTGAATACTACACCCGCCAACGCGTCATGCGGAAATTTTTCGGAACCGTATCATATGGCATGCTCCTCGATGTTACGCTGGTAATGATACACTGCCTTTGCTAACTCGAGGACTGACAGTGCGCAGAGTTTTCGTTTTCGGGCTTCTCTTCGGCACCACAGCACCGGTGCTCTTCGGTCGCTGTGGATCCGGAGTCGGTGATGTAAATATGCATGCGCATACATCCTGGCATAGCACGCTGCGAGCCGCAAATAACTGTGACATACATAAGGCAGAACCTGACATAGTAGCCTGGGGGTTTGATGATACTGGATCAACAAGCTATACAGATGTCACCATGGGTCAAACTGTTCATCCAACTTGATAGTTGTAGTGTTTGAACTGTGAGGTCGGATATCAGGAACTTGAGGCTGTGTGGCATGGATGCAAAAATTATAAAATTTTGGCAGATCAGGAAAAGAGGGATTGTTGGGCCTACAACTCAAAAGGCAAAACAATCCATAATGAGACAAGATAGCTAGCTAGCTTGATGACCCCCAGAAGGAAAAGTATGATAGGACTCCTGCAGAAGCATTTTTTCACCTCCATGCTCTGTATCTCTTGGAGGTCCCTCACAACTAACAAATCTTCCAATCCCACTTTATAATGTGAGGATTCTTACATATAAGTCACCTTCTGAGTAATGACTCAATTCTTTCCTATTTTCTTTTCATGGTCTCTGCAATCATACTTCAACTTGAATCCCAAGATCAGTGCTGTTGGATGCTACCTGCCATCTACTCAGCATTTATTTTTCCTGGTGGTATCCTAGTTGATCTGGGATGCACTCAACCTTGTAAAAATGGGTGGAGCTGACCTGATGGAATGTCATATCCAGCCTTTTGTAAATCTTCTAGGTTCATGAAAAACTTACGAGGTTAGGAGTTGAAAGAGAGAGAGAGATGTTTGTTTGAATGGACTTGTTGTGGCAACACTTCATTGGGAACTTTTTTGAAGGGGGCACAGGAATAAAATTGAGAACCAATGATTTTTGTTCACTAGTAGAGCCTATGTGTTAAACAGACTATATGCAATAATTTCAATCTGTGCTTTGAGAAAAATTGAGTATCTAAATGAATAACAGAGATTAACATATGCATGAAGAGATGGCAGGAGTAAATTGCTGTTGATCAAGACTAGACCAGGGTTCAAACACTACAAGGATTTAAGCACTAGAAAACAAGACAACATACCACTCAGACACTAACAAACAGAGTACAATCATATGTATTGTGTTTCTCAAGAACCTTGGACTGATCTCCCTTTTGTATTGGCCAAATATGCATTTATGTCCAAGAAGTGGACTTCCAGTTGGCACAGGTTTTCACAAGGCTTAGCTGCATGGTAGCCTGTATGCTCATTTGCATACACAGATATTTAGGGATCTGATGGCTATCTTTATTGCCTCCCATTTCTACCTCATGAGAGTGGGAACATCAGAATACCAATAAAGTATTGTGCCAGACCGCCTTGTTCTGCCCTCAATGGCAATGGTGTGGGGTGCCTAGCACAGCCAATCAGGTTCAGTCTCTGCCAATAGTACCTGACTGGCTGCTGCCACCCTCCAGTTTCCGGCAACCTGTACAGGAATATAGTTTTACTTCTGTATGGGTGCATGTTCAGTATCCACATTCTGGGTTGGCATACCCATACATACACATAAAATTTCAGTCAAAAAAGACTTGATTGGTACAAGGATTTTGAGAAAAACAATCTTTAATTTATCTAAACATTAAAAAATGGAAAATTTGTGATGGGTGGAATTTTAGGGATGAGAAGAAAGAGAAGAAATTCCAACAGTTCAGCTCTACATATGTATGTAAGGGGCTTTACCATATGACATGCAAGTCCATTTTTTCAAAATTCATATGGCTCAAAATTTCATATCATCAAAAGTTACCAAATACCAAAATCCAGTCTTTGGTCTGAAATTGAGGAATTTCAACTCCAGATCTTGATAGTTGTTTCCAATTTTTGGGTAGAAGATGTAAAAAAATGCCCAGTTTTCCAAATGGAACCCTATGGTACAGGCCCTAAACTTGATTGAGTGAACTCCAGATTGAATAGGGTATTCACAAACCATCAATGTTCTTGGGCTGATTCAAGATAGAAAAGAAAATACACAAACAAATTTTGGAAATAAAGTTGATTTTCAAGAGGCCAAATGAAAGACCTTGAAAACTCTTGGGCCTGTACCATAGGACATGAAAATTCAATTTCTCAAAATTTATCTTGCTCAAAATTTTATATTATCAAAATTGACCATAACTAGAAGCTAGTCTTTGGCATGAAAGTGAAGAATTTCAACACCAGATTTCTCCAATTGTTCCCAGTTTTTGTGTAGAGGATGGAAAAAATGCCCATTTTTGAAAATTGAACCCTATGGTACAAGCCCTTATTTTGCCAATTTGATAAATGATAGGGTAAAATATAACTTGTTTGTATAAATAAGGTCAAATAAACGGAAAATTTGATAAATTGGATAATTAAGTGACATCTCTGAAAACATTTTTGGGTAGATACCAACTGGTCAATTTATCCAAAAAAAACCTGCAGCTGGATTGATTAACTTTGTTATAGTCTACACAAACAAAGTCAATTTCTCCACAGATCCAATTCTGGATAACTGAAAAAAGCTACTTTATCCAAAGTGGCCTGGACAAAACCTGAAAGAGTAACTGCTCCACAATTCTTCCAAGGGAGCAGCCTTCTCTCCACAATGATTGATATTTTTCTTTGAACTGGGTTCATTAGTGTCAGACACTGAGAAACTAGCCCAGGTGTCTACAATAGAATGTAACCCCCTTGGGTTACATAATAATTATTATAAGAAATCTTTAAGTTAATAATTATTAAGTAATGTTATCCCTTTTTACATGTATTTTTTATGTTAATAATTATTCTGTAAATTAATAAAGATTCACCTCTTTATTAATTTACCTCTTTCATGAAAATTATAATCAAGTGAAAAGGATAATTATCTCATGGGTGTATCCAAGAGATGATTATCCAATTTACCTCTCTTGTGTATATGATTATTATGTTTATCTCTCTTATGGTATTTTCTGAAATAAAGGATATTCAACACATGTACATTTATCATGCTCTGAATATCCTGACACTTTCCCCCAAGGAAAAGTGTAACAATAAGGGGACTGCACCGGTCCCAGCAGCAGAATTGACCCCTGCTCTGTAATATTTAAGAGGATGCTTCTCCCCCTGAGATTCATCCCCCCAGACAATATTACCATACAAACCCAATTACCTTACTAGTTATTAGAACAATTTAGTGAGTGGGGTTTTTACAGTAAATTATTGTACTTTAGTTATTATATTTCTCTTTATCATCCTACTAGCCTTATAAGTTACCCATTTAACTTATAAGACTAGTACAAACCTCTTTTCCTTATAAATTCTTCAGCTCAGGCACTGTGAAGCTCATTCGCTCAGGCACTGTGACGCTCATTCCACAGTTGTCCCTTATTTTTATAAGGAGCCAGTCCCTCCACAGTACCTGTGTTGAGTTGGACTTATTTCCACTGGCCACTCTTTGGCTATAGTGTGACCCTTTTATCCCATCAACTCTAGGTCACATAAGAGACCAGAGCTGACAATTGGGGGTCTGGCCGGGAAATATTTTTCCGGTGTACCACCATTATTAAGATTTATATTTTTTCTTCCCTTACAGAAAAAAGTATAAAGGTCATCTGTTGAATTTATTTCCAGATAAACCTCAAATCTTAATCCTTTTTACCAAATCACGAAACTGATCTGTGTTATTACCCTTTGTTTTCAGATCAGCAACCCTTACCCACTCCACCCTTGATTATTCAGAGTCAACGGTTTGAAGTAGCCAGACTATCTTCCTCGATACGCTTCCCTGTACGTGAGTAGTCACTCAACCTTGCTGGTCTAAGCCCGATTACTAGCTGACAGACTTTTTACAGTCATAAACGGTGATCAGAGTGAGTCTGTCCTCTCAATTACTTATCGACAACAATTCGCTGATCTTTTGTTGATCCTGCTTCCTCAGATAACCACAGTCTAATAAACCTGTTCATTACTAGAGATCAAGACAAGTGAGCTGATCAGTAAGATCTGATACACTGATCGTTCGTTCTTCCTCACTGACTCTATATTCTTTATCTTGTTGCTTCGAACACGACAGTGTCCGCTACATCGCAACCTCAAACTACTCCGGCAGTGAAAACGTACTCCGAAGCCGTATCGGCGTCCGAAGGAACTCGCTCCGAGCCTAGCAAACCTGTTAAAGCGGCCCCTAGAAAACCGAAAAAACAGTACACTAGTCCTGAGGTTGTACCTACCAAGTGGGACCATGAATCGGACTCTTCAGCGAAAAAGGACAAACCTCATTCTCCATCCGCTCCGGTAACCGAATCAGCTAAAACGGTAGCTAAGAAAACCGCGAACCCCGCGAAAGCTGAGAAGAGCAAAGCGAAAAAGAGCCCTCAGCCTGACAACTCTCCAAGCGAAGAAACCAATAAGAAGAAGACCAATAAGTCAAACGATCCGTTGCCCAACGTCGATCCCTTCAAAAGCAAAGAAAAAGTCTCTAAGCTCATTGATAAGGACTCAATCAGCCACCTTACCTTTAAGAAGGTCAATCAACATCCTCAAAACGACATAGGCACTGCTTCTGTTAGCAAACCGATCACAACGACCACTAGCGATCAATCTAGTCAGATCGTCAAGCCCCCTCCCTCTGTTAACTCAGTATCCAAAGCGGCCAAGACCCTGCTGAACGGTCCCAAGACCTTTAAAGAACCGGTCAATCGATCGACACAGAAGAATCTAGATAACTATTTTGTTCCGCAAGGCCGTACAGTCCGATCGGTATCTTCTCGATCCTCTGATCACCCGTGTGATTCCACTACTTCTGACTCAGTCACACCGAGCAACGGTAGTGATCTTGACATCATAACAGGTTAGCCTTTATTCTTGGTTATCTTAGCTAGATCGACTTGTACAGGTGACTTACATACTATGTCTCGAACTAGGAGCCACCACCCAGCTTTGGTCGAGGCCAAAGACCTTACCGGCGCCCCTAGAGGAAGATATTCTTCTAAAGTATCCTCCGGCTCATCATCCACTGCTTCAAGCGGTGAAACTCAACCGAGAGTACTACCGCAAAGCAGAGAGGACAAAGGACGAGTCGATGAAAGTTGTAGCCCTCAGAGCAGCTGCAGGACTCCAGAAAGACCTATCGGTCTCGATCAATCTGGAAGAATTCAAGAATCTTTTTCAATGGGATCCGATGTCGGAATTCGACGGATACCTGAACACACAGAAGGGTCGTCGATTCCTGAGGGAAAGAGGGACGGAGGTGACGCCGACTCCCCCTCCCGAAGTCCTGATGCAACCACCGGAGGCAGAGCGATCTCATGCCCAACCTCAAGATCAACCGACGGAACACCAGCCTCAGACTCAGATGTATTATCATCCGAACGGCTACTACTATCCGTACCAGCCGATGAATCAGCCTCCTCAGAATCAGTGTTGGCCCCAACAGGGGTACAACCAAGATTACTCGACTTACCAACAAGGCTACTACCCTCCTCAACAATGGGTAAACAACCAGACGGCCCAAGCGGAACCACCGATCCCTCCTCCACAGACAAGAAAAAAGGAAAGCGATCAGGCTCCGAAAAGCAATCGCAGTCGTCCAAACAACAGGAAGGCGAAGGGACCAAACTGGATTCCTCCTCCGACTCTAAAGCGAGCCCCCCGAGACTCTTGGGAGGCAAATGCGAGGGAGAGACGTCGAAGGTCCCACCAACTCTCAATCCACCAAGAGATGATAAGGCTCAACCGCACGACTCAGGCTCAATTTCAAGCGCTCAAGGCCATGAGAAATCAGAACGCAGGGGGCGAGAATCGTCGTCAATCCCGAGAGGGCGCACAGACTCCAAAAAATTGACAAGTGATGAGTTAGTACCAATTCTCCAAAAACGTTTCCTGAGCATAGAAAAAATAGTAGATAATAATGTAGCCTTGTTATCCAAACAGATTAACTCAGATGTCACAGTAGGTATAGCAAATCAATTGAGTCACCAGTTTGACACATTCAATCCTAAATTTAAGTCACTATTATTTTCTTCTGAAAACTCTATTGCTATGTTACAAAATATTATTAGATCCCTCCCACAAATAGAAGCTTCAGCAAAAAAATGGTCAGCTTCGGAGTCTGATTTTAATTCTCTTAATAATAAATTGTCTAATCTTAGTAATATGTTCTCCAACTCTTCTGAGTCTCATAATATTAAAGAAATTAAAAATATTGTGATGGCCCTCAGTAATAGAGAAGATTTGTCCAAAAGAGCTTTTGACAATCTTTTTAGTCTTGTTTATGATAAATTGGAAGAAAATAAAAATAAGACTGACAATTTCTTTGAGAAATTGACCAATAAATTGACTCCTCATCCTGAAGTTGGAACTTCTTCAAAATTGGAATCTGCTGAACCAAGGAAAGAGTCACCTGACTTGTTTCCAACAAAAGACCAAGACAAGGGTAAAGGGAGAGAAAGTTGTCATCCTAGTGCACCTGACATACTTTTACAAGACCAACAATTGAACACTAATAATATTTGTTCTTGTCACGCAAAAATCTCTGAGCTTAAGTTGGAACATGAATTACTCAGAGAAGTTAATGAGAAGATAGACTACCTCATTAACTTGAATGAACAGCCAATTGCGGACATTAATGCTAAATTGTTAGTCATAGAAAATAATAATGAGAAAAGATTCAATACTTTGATGGCAAAGTTTGATGGACTGAAATCCCCAACTGTTGTGCCCAGTGAACATATAGGACACAAAAATGATGCCAACTCAGCTGTGAGACAAGAAACACCTCATGCTACAGAAGGGTCTAGACCAAATCCACAAATGACTGTAAACAATAATAATGCTGAATTCTTTGAAACTAAAAAACAAGCTACTGATCTTGATCCTGGAAGACTGAGTGAGTTTTTTGAAGTGCCCTCAGTGAAAAGTGAGACAGTGCCAGTTGCTAAACCTCAAATGTCTCATGAAACAAGTAAGATTATCATGCAAGGTTTGTCTAAGATAGAAGCATGGCCTAGCTTTTCTGGAGATGGTGAGTATAACCATGTGGACTTTATCAAGAAAATTGATACTATCCAAGAAGACTGTCATATAGAAGATGTGGTTATCATTACAAAATTGATGAATATGTTCACAGGTTCAGCAGAGCAATGGTACACCACAGTGAGAGCCATAGTAGGAAATCAGTCTTGGGCTTTTTGGAAAAAAGCCCTTCATAAAAAATATGGTACTCCCGCCTGGAGAAGAAAACTTTTGACTAACTATCAGAAGGATAGATTCGTACCAGGGAGTACCCAAGCAGCAGCTTGTGTCACAAGACAATACACAAGGATCATGGCATGTGAGCCACAAACTAACCATGAAAGCCTTATGTTTAAACTTCTGACCCAAATGGACGGAGAAGTCAGCTTTGCGGCACAAAATGCAATGAAAGATGGCCAAACCCTGACTTCATTAATTAATGCCTTAGAAGATATTACAGAATACACCAATATAGGTAAGAGACGACCATCTTATGGCCTTGGTAACAAGCAATACACTAATAATAATGGCTTGGATAAGGGTAAAGAATCCAAACAAAATTCAGACCTTAAGTGTTATTCTTGTGATAAAGTAGGACATACCTCTAGGAACTGTCCAAAAAAGGATAAGAAGGTTGTAGCTATTGGTGATGAAAGTAATAATGATGCTGGTATTGATTCAGAAAGTGATGCTGAGCAGCAAGATCATAATCCAGATATTGTGTGTGTAAATACTACGTCTGTAGATTATTTTATTTCCCCTGTTTCAGGCAGTAATAGAATAGTGCAAATGATTTGTTGTCACAAGCCGTGTAACGTACTGCTAGATTCTGGTGCTTTTAAGTCAGTAGTGGGAATGAACTATTTGAATAAGTTCTGTCCTGATTGGAAGAAATTTATTATCTCTACCACTACTGATAAATTCCATAGCTGCTCAGACCAATTGACTACACCTAGTGTAGTCAAAGTTATTCTGGAATTTAAAGACCACAAGTTACATGTAGATTTTATAGTCATTGAAAATGCCTTGGTAAATTATTTCATTCTAGGAAATGATTACTTGAGCCATTTTAAAATTTCTATTATGAATGATAAAGGCAGCTACTTTAAAATTGGTTCTAGTAATGTCAAATACACATTTGGCAACAATAAGTCTAAATTAGTTGCGTCAGGAAATACTTCTGAGTCCTCATTTTTACAGGAGGTAAAAGACAGCTCAAGAATAAATCCTGAACTGCCAAGCAAAGCAAAGGATCAACTCCTTCAATTGCTCTTTGCCAAAAGACAGGCTTTTGCTACGGTGGAAGAGCCCTTTGGTGCAATCAAAGGTCATGAGGTAAAGTTGACTTTGAACATTGATAAACCATACCCACCAGTCTTAAGAAAAGCACCTTATCCGGCTAGTCCAAGAAGCAGAGAAGCTTTAGCCGAACATATAGAAGCTTTACTTAAGCTGAAAGTCATAAGAAAGGTAGGGGCAAATGAGAATGTAGATATTACCACCCCGGTAATAATTGCTTGGCACAATAATAAATCTAGACTTGTTGGTGACTTCAGAGCTTTGAACAGCTACACTAATCCTGATAGGTACCCTATGCCTAAAATAATGGAATCTTTAAGTAAATTACATAAAGCAAATTATATTACTTGTATGGATGTACTCAAAGGATTCCATCAAAATGTTATTCACAAAGATAGCAGACAATTCTTGAGAATAGTTTGTCATCTTGGTATCTATGAATATCTGAGGATGCCTTTTGGCATAAAAAATGCGCCATCTCACTTTCAGAGAATGATGGACACAGAATTTGCAAATGAGCTAAGCCAGTTGTGGCTCATTATTTACATAGATGACATTATTATTTTCTCAGATAATTGGAATGACCACTTAGATAGGTTAAGTACAGTACTGGATAAGGTCATCAAAATGAATATGAAGATTTCACTGGCTAAGTGCCAGTTTGGATTTTCGGAGCTGAAAGCTTTGGGACATATAGTGAGTGGTTTGTCTTTAGAAATTGACAAACATAGAGTAGCAGCAGTGTTGCTCAAACCTACACCTCAAAATGTCAAAGAAATGCAAATGTTCCTTGGTTTTGCTGGATACTATAGGTTGCATATAAAGAATTTTGGTTCCATGGCCTCTAGTCTTTATAAACTCTGTAGCCCCAGTGTAGTATTTGAAATGACTGCTGAAAGAGTTGAAGCTTATGAGTCCCTTAAGTTTGCTTTAACAAATGCTCCCCTATTGTTTCACCCTGATCCAAAAGAAAGGTTTAAATTGTATGTTGATGCGTGCATGGAAGGTATTGGTGCGGCTTTGCATCAAGTACAAACCATCAATGACAAACCTGTAGAAGGACCAATTTGTTTCATTTCAAGACAACTCAAAGATTCTGAGAAGAAGTACGGTGCTTCTCAACTTGAATGTCTTTGTCTAGTGTGGGCCTTGGATAAGTTGTATTACTATCTGGATGGTTGTGAGTTCGATGTCATCACAGATTGTAATGCCCTTAGGTCTTTATTGAACATGAAGACACCCAATAGGCATATGCTCCGTTGGCAAATTGCTATCCAAGAATGGAGAGGGTCTATGACAATTGTTCACAGAGAAGGTGTGGTGCATAAAAATGCAGACGGACTTTCTAGATGGGCTTTGCCAAATGACCCTAATAATCCTGCTTACGATGCTGAAGAAGCTGAAACAGGTTCACCTGTTCTGGATATTTTGCCTTTTAACATGAGGATGTCTGAGTGTCTTGCGCACTGGGCTTTACCAAATGATGAAAACAATCCAGCTTTTGAAAAAGAATCCTTTGTCGACACTAATCCTATTATGGCTATTTCTATATCTGGATTGTCATCATCCTTTTGGGAATTAAAAGAGAAAAGCTATGAATCTAACAAGAACACCGTAATTTTAGTCAAATTACTTAAGTCACCTTACCCAGATAAAGGTCTAATTGAAGGACTTGAAGGAATTTGGAAAAAAACATTTCTTGGAAAACAGATTTGTGTTGTTAGACAAATTATTGTACCACAGGCGTGAACACAATTCCTCAGTGGTGCTTATTGACCCCAGTCACATCAGTATAATTTTGAATGAGTGCCACGACAGTATTACTTCTGGCCACTTTTCCAAAGAAAGGACTCTGAATAGAGTCCAGGGTCTGGCTTGGTGGCCAGATTGGAAAAATCAAGTGTCAGATTACTGTGATTCTTGCGACAGGTGTCAAAAAGCCAACAAAGCTACAGGAAAACGCTTTGGCTTGTTACAAACAATTGATGAGCCAAAGTCAAGATGGGAAATCATCAATATGGACTTTGTTACAGCCCTTCCTGCAGCAGGGCCAGAAAACTATAATGCTGTGTTAGTAGTCTGTGATAGGTTTTCCAAAAGAGCAAGATTCCTGCCTTGCTATAAGGATAGTAGTGCAATGGATATAGCACTTATATTTTGGAATAACATTGTTAGTGATGTTGGATGCCCAAGGATCATCATCAGTGACAGAGACCCAATATTTACCTCAGATTTTTGGCAAAATTTGTTTGAAATTTTAGGCACTAAGTCAGCTTTTTCTACAGCTTATCACCCTCAAACTGATGGGCTAGCAGAAAGAATGATCCAAACTCTTGAAGACATGATCAGGAGGTATTGCGCGTACGGAATTGATTTCAAGACTAGTGATGGTTACACTCATGACTGGGTTTCTCTTTTGCCAGCACTAGAATTTGCTTACAATTCCAGTAAACATTCTGTCACGGGCATGACTCCTTTTGAACTTGAGAGGGGATGGATTCCTCATATGCCCAAGGACTTTCTGCTTTCCAAGACAATTGAATTGCACCCCAGTTCAGAGTGCTTTCAAAAAATGATGTTCCAAGCAGAAGAAAAAGCTGCACTGTGTGTAAAAGAAGCGGCTGAGTATAACAAGGAGAGGTGGGATAAAACTCATAGAGACCATGATTTGAAAGTTGGTGACTTAGTTCTTATCTCTACAGTAAATTTCAATAACTTAGCAGGACCTCGGAAACTAAAAGATGCTTTCATAGGACCATTTTTTATTAAAGAATTTCACGGTAGAAACGCTGTTGAAGTTATTTTAACAGAAGAATTTAGTCAAAGGCATCCTACTTTTCCTATAAGTCTTTGCAAAAAATACATTGTACAAGATAGTAGTTTTGACCGGTCATCTAATGAAGCCATTGCTCCTCCCATGACAGATGATACCGTACCAAAAACTGCAGCAAATATCTTGAAGGAAAAAATTGTAAGGAAGAATGGAAAAGACTGCAAGTTGTACTTGGTAAGGTTTAAGGATTGTCAACCTGATCAAGACTTGTGGCTAGAGTCTGAAAAAATAGACAACTGTCAAGTCTTGTTAAGAAGATTTAGAGCTACCAAAAGATTGAAAAATTCCTGATGGAATTTTCCTTTTGGTGGGGGCAAATGTCAGACACTGAGACACTAGCCCAGGTGTCTACAATAGAATGTAACCCCCTTGGGTTACATAATAATTATTATAAGAAATCTTTAAGTTAATAATTATTAAGTAATGTTATCCCTTTTTACATGTATTTTTTATGTTAATAATTATTCTGTAAATTAATAAAGATTCACCTCTTTATCAATTTACCTCTTTCATGAAAATTATAATCAAGTGAAAAGGATAATTATCTCATGGGTGTATCCAAGAGATGATTATCCAATTTACCTCTCTTGTGTATATGATTATTATGTTTATCTCTCTTATGGTATTTTCTGAAATAAAGGATATTCAACACATGTACATTTATCATGCTCTGAATATCCTGACACTTTCCCCCAAGGAAAAGTGTAACAATAAGGGGACTGCACCGGTCCCAGCAGCAGAATTGACCCCTGCTCTGTAATATTTAAGAGGATGCTTCTCCCCCTGAGATTCATCCCCCCAGACAATATTACCATACAAACCCAATTACCTTACTAGTTATTAGAACAATTTAGTGAGTGGGGTTTTTACAGTAAATTATTGTACTTTAGTTATTATATTTCTCTTTATCATCCTACTAGCCTTATAAGTTACCCATTTAACTTATAAGACTAGTACAAACCTCTTTTCCTTATAAATTCTTCAGCTCAGGCACTGTGAAGCTCATTCGCTCAGGCACTGTGACGCTCATTCCACAGTTGTCCCTTATTTTTATAAGGAGCCAGTCCCTCCACAGTACCTGTGTTGAGTTGGACTTATTTCCACTGGCCACTCTTTGGCTATAGTGTGACCCTTTTATCCCATCAACTCTAGGTCACATAAGAGACCAGAGCTGACAATTAGTCTGCCCAGAAAAAGCTGGTGTTACACTACAATACCCCACTTTTTATCGGAAAAAGATGCCAGAAGCATTTCTAGTGGTGCTTCAGCACCAGTGGGCTGATATGAGCAATACTATGCTAACTCTACATATTGGATGTTTAGCATATTGAACCAGTGATTTTAGCAAGCTCATGACAACAGTTATAGGAAGCTCACAACACTTAACTTGAAATTTTATATACTAATGCTCCCAAAACTCTCAGTAAGCCCTCCTGTACTCACAAGTTTTAAATCTGTTTTAATTTTAATGTAGGTTACATTATGGACAAAGAAAAAATTCACAACTCAGCTGGCAAAGTGCAAAGACTGGGACTGTCTTGATCAGGTACACTACATGGGTGTTGAAATGCTTAAAAACTATGTATCATCTCATCAGGCTCACACCAAAAAAATGGCTCTTGATCTGATACTTGGCCACTTGTTTGAAAACATCTGGATACTTCCTTGGTTTGAACAACCTTTGCACTGGGTCAGCATCCATTAGCACTCACATGCCAGGGAAAATTTCCAGTCCCTGGCTTTCCTAGAGCCAGCTGAAGATGAGGATTATTCAATTTTCTAAGATGCTGATTGCCTGACAGGATGTAGCTGTTGTGGATTTAGCTGCAACCATCTGAGTCGGCGGAGGTCAAGCCGCCGGCATCTTAAAATTTGCCAGCAAGCCAACCGCACACGAAACCCCCGAGGTACTGCATTCTCACTGCGGTGGCGATGCTTCAAAAAGACGCGTGTCCTTATCTGTCCTTATCGGTCACAGGAACTTCATACCACTTCCAACCGCATAGTCCATATTCCACTTCGACGGTCCATAAGTTGCGACAACAAACAACCTCACTCATCTCGGTCTCCATCCAACATTCAGATATATCCCATCAACCTCTCGATTCGAGTTACCCTCTCTCAAAGCCATCTTCGCACATTTTTGATCGCACAATGGGTGGAGGTAACGTATGTTATGATTTGTGTAACATAAGTTCACTTGATGTGTTCAACGTATGACTAAAAATCCCAATTCGATACCTCCCCTAAAAAATTAACTCGAAACCTCCTCCAGGGTGCCAAGGCTGCTCAAAAACGTGAGCGTAATGCGAAGGCCTCAGGCGCCACGGCCAAGTCTCAGCTCAAAGTGGTAAGCAGCATCGTTGTTTACTGCTACTATGCTTTATACATAGTTTGCTTGAACCAAACATAATACAAACCGTCTTATCATCCTATCTGTTGAACCTTTGTCTAAATTTAGAATGAAGCCGCCAAAAACATCCAATGCAAGGTCTGCTTCCAAACGTTTTTGATAACAAGTCGAGAACCTGCGTAAGTGGATTTTGAAGCCCGATACCTTACTTATTGATTTCTGCCGTGCTTAAATACGAAGCTGACCTTTTGGACTGGGAATCCGTACCTTTCTTTAGTCTGAAAGAGCACGCGGAGAACCGGCATAGTAAAGCTTTACTTGATTGCTTTCCTATGTGGAAACCTTAGCTTCCGATGTCCTTTACACTCGCCTTTGCTTTAGCAGGGTCTCCGCTTATAAATGGATTCCCTCAACTTGTGTTTGACTAGTCACAAGTAGGAATGTTGATAAGACTTTGCATTGCTTTTTTTCCTCCTTCTCACAATTGCCAGTCGTTTTTTTTTCTCATTCACGGCTTCGAGTGGCTCTTGTTTGTTGTTATTTTTCTGTCTTGTTCAGTAGCGAAGTTGCTTCGCACTGCCAGATATTTTTGTACCCGCGAACAAACACGATCCGGAAAAGAGGGCCAGCACGACGATAAGAGTCATTTCTAACTTGAGTTTACACATGTCTAATCCCTGTCTGATGTCACAGTGCAAGGTTGGAAATACTGGCTTGTTTATAAAATCGCATTTTTGTAGGCTTGGGTGCTGTGCACTGCCTTTTGGGTGAATTTAAAAATGAAGTTCATACAATCGTGTATACATCAAGCAATCATGAACTTGGAGCACAAATGCTTATTTCTAAAATATGATTACTGGTAAATTGGATGCTTATGTCTTTCTGTGATTGATGAAGATAAACTCATGAAATCAGTAATCATATTAACATCGTTGGTACTCTCAAGCGGCTGGAAATCTTGAAAACCATGCCCCAAAGCTTTCCACCTTTTCTGTTGAGTTGTATTGAAAAACATAATCATCTTGAAGTTTCCTGTCCATCTTTCAAAATGCTTGTCCTTGTGTACTGGATATTGAAGGCCCCTGTTAGAGCAATGGAGGACTTCCCTTTGGATTTACAGGCATCTTATTTCTTAATATACACCCTGTAAATTTACTTTTTTTAAAAAACTTGAAATTGAATGTACTCATGATTTCTCAAACATGATGGCAATGGCTTTCATGTGCACTTGTACATGCATTCTTGCAATGGTGAATGCCATCTCCAATTTTTTGTATTGGGTTGTAGTCATGACCAGATAAATAATCTTGATACATTTTTATAGTATCTGTTGGTACAACAAATATACAATGTTTTTGGAGAAACACAGACACAACTACTGATAAATACAAAGACATGTATTGCATTGGTTTCACCGTTGATTCTTGGTGGCTGATGGTGGCAGGTATCCCCCAACAGGTATCAATGGTCATCTCCAGTGACAATGGGCCATCTACTGGAAATAGAGGAATGTGTTTTCCCTAGAATTAATCCAGTCAGAATAGATGAAGGTCAATTTCAAGGAAGAAATGGGTAAGGTTCAACTTGACATTTGAAAAGTGGTCAAACTAGTAATAAAAAACCCATGCATTCATTTCACAAGATTGGTGTACTCTATACAAATGATTTCATTTTGGTTGAGAAAATAATCTAGTCTCCTCTATCCCCAGGATATAATCCTACACCTCCCTCAAACTTTTTCCTTTTTAATGAGGCTCCAATTGAAGAAGAAGGCCTCTTATAATGAAGCAACTACGGGATTTCATTCCAATTCTTCCATTGTAAATGTAGAAAACCAGGAATTAAAAAAACTCAATATTGAAGCTGACCTTACACTACAAACAATACCGATTTTGCCCCAGGAAAAAATGGCAATTTGGTTGGTGGAAAATAGGTCACTTTCCTGAGCATTTTTTTACAAAATGACTCAGGAGTAAAAATTAAGCTAAAATGAGCTATTTTAGCCAAAAAGTAAAAATGCCTCAAATGAGCTAAAAATTGATTTTGGAAGTTTGAGGCATTTTTATTTTTGGGCTAAAATAGCTCATTTTAGCCTGATTTTTACTCCTGAGTCATTTTGTAAAAAAAGCCTCAGGAAATTGAACAATTTTCCCCACTCAAATTGCCATTTTTTCCTGGGGCGAAACTGGTATTGTTTGTAGTGTTAGTGATTTGCATGCCAGCCCCAGAAATTCCAACCATCTAGTTTCTTTATTCATTTTAGAGGTCTGGCTTTTGAGCCATCTAAAAAGGAAAAAAAGGCTTTCATGATGAGTGAAAGAAATTGGTTTAGAGAGATTGATTTGCTTGATGCTTGATGGTGACAGGTGTGTGTATCAACAATTGAACATCTTGGATGTGAAAGGTATGTAAGAAAAACTTGGTTGTCACCAATTTTAACCCCATGTCACCCTGCACAATTCTTTTTGGGTTAGTCACTGCCCACCAATGTGGACACCTCCTTTGGGGTTTCCATACCCCATTGGAGGGGCACTTCCTTTTGGGTTTCCATACCCCATTGGAAGCGTGCATTGAGCTCCATGTTCCAAAGGGGGGGGGGCTATATGTTCATGCATGCCTCCAAAGGGTGTGCATTTGGTGGCTAACTTGGCAAAGTCCCCCTTGGTTGTGAAGTGACCCTCCAAAAGATGGACTAATATATGTTTCCCCCACCACCCATGAGGATTGGGCATTTGGGTGGGGCAAATTTTCAAACTCAACCCACTCACTCATTTATGAAAATTTTACCCCTGGGTTTGACCTGCATGGAGGCAGCACCGATGGGCATCTGATTCTTTGCAAGCAAAATGTATCAGAGGAAGTACACATCAACAGGCCTGTTATTATGGGACAAGCAGCAGATTTCACCTCTGTATTCTATTGTGATGGTGTTGAGTGTTACCTGTGGCAGTCCATACAGGATGGCCATGAAAAAGAACAACATCAGACCCAACATTAAGGGTTTGGCTTCAGAATCCCCCCAGACCTCTACCAACGGTGGGCCAGTTACACTAACCGTATGGCGTATCGTAGCAGAATTCCGCCACATCTTGCACTAACACTATGTGCATAGGCCCCAAAAAAGGGCCCACTACGCTACGCTAACACGCTGGTTAGCGGTTTTTTGGCCCTGTAGCGCTGTTAGTGGCCTGTAGCGCAGTGTAGCGTAGCAAAAATCCGCTAAAAAAAGCTAACACTACATTTTTTGGCTCAAAAAAAGTGCCGCTACGCTACGCTTTTTGGGCCAAAAGCGTAGCGGCCCACCACTGCCTCTACAGCCTTGTTAAGGGCTTGGTTTGATTCTCACAGATGTGCCGCTTCTTTTGGTGGGAAACTTGCTAGGCATTGGAGGACTTCCCGTCAACATCTGCGGGTCTCCCAGAGCCGGTTTAGAGCCTCAAAATTCAAATTTCTCTGCAAGAATTAAGAGATTTTGGGTCTAGATCAAATTCTGTGATGGTCTCAGATCCGACGGGAAGTCCTCAATTAGGTGTGTCAAGAGGCCTATAGAGGCCTTCAAAAAAAGCGACTTTTTCCAAGTCCTCATAGGCCACCAGGGTGACATAGCGCATGGACGGTCCCTGCAGGATGGTGTCCCCCCTCCAGATAAAGAGGGACTTAGTTCAGTTAGATTTGGTGAGGTGAGTGAAGCTGGGACAGCACAATAATGACAACAGGGGGTGGATACAGTTCCCTGTATTGGTAAACTGTTGTAAATTAACAATTTTTTTCCTTTTGTGGTCAATAGAGCCTGTATTGGACTGTAATACAAAGTAAAGTCTTGAATTAAAATCAATAATTTTTGGATAAAAATATAAACAAAAAAGAGAAAAATTGACAAGCCCATATGTTACACAAAGGGGCTGTATTATCATATTGTAACACATGGGTCCACTGTTGATAGTGATAATTGTGGTTGGATCAGGGAAGAATCCTTCCAGGCACAACAGGAATAGTACAATAACTAATGTGACATGCCTGTGATGAGTATGTGGTAAACTGAGAAGAAGAAAACAGCATGAAATGGACACTTGACAGCATTTAGATCACATGGGTCTGCCATCTTATATAGCCACCCCCTTTCATGTGATGTTGTAATTTCTTTTGAGGTATGAGTTGATCTTTGATTTTTTGCATCTCCAGTGAATGCATGAAAATGTAACTGAAGTAACTGCCATTGAGGAGAGTGGTTCTGATTGCAGATTTCAAAACACAGCAGGTGAAAAAGCAAGATTGAGGTTTCAGACTCCAGGGAGGAGTACACTCGGCCCCAAACGGGGTAAATTGGAAGCTGAAACTGGTGACCACCCTCGCAGCCGGGGCCGGCGAAACGGAGGGTGGGCGGAGAGCAAGGTTCGCCTCGTTCGACTCCGAGAGCCACGTGCACCCTTCCAAGTCAACCACCCACTCACCACCCACCGAGATACTACACAACACGCATTGTCGCAAAACGACGGACGAGCAGAGTACATAGAAGGAACAGCAACACTCCCTGAAGAAAAGCCCGCCTTAGCGCGAAACCATCCTCAGCCACAGTCGACCAACCTTGAGAAAGAGATAGTGAAGAGATTCAAGACCAAACAAACAAACAGATTGAACCTGCCCAAGATGATGAGTGCCGACTCGAACCTGATGCAGGATGAAGAGTCAAACGAAACGGCATTCACAAGGAAATACCGAGAGTTGGAGAAAGTGAGCATGATCTATCATTCCCTCTGTTTGAATATTTCCACCTGATGATAGTATCTTGTTTTTGTTTTTTTTTCTGTGTGTAGGCTTATCAATACCAACTGGATAGATTGACACCCTACACTACTTACAGATGGTTGACGACTACCGGACTGATCTTCATCTTCATGCTCAGGATCCTCCTGTCGCAAGGATGGTACATCGTCACATATGCTCGTGAGTGCCTCGATAAGACCGATAATCATCCCAGGATGAAGATGAACGAGGACCAGGTCTTTGAAACTCAATGATTGGTTTATTGCTCCTTTTCTTTTTTTTAAACCAAAAAAAAAACGAAATGGGGGAATCGTGTAGTGGGGATCTACCTGTTGAATCTATTCCTATCGTTCCTACAGCCTAAATTTGATCCCTCGATCGAGCAGGATGCGGCGGAGAATGAGGTCGAGGAGGGCGGGCCAGGAAGCACGAGCAATCTGATGGGAGGACAGAACATGGATGGCGACGAGTTCAAGCCGTTCATCCGACGCTTGCCCGAATTCAAATTCTGGTACCCACCCCGGTTTCCCTCACATCATATCCCCCTTCTGATACAACTTCTCACATCCCCTTTCTTGGTTTTCCTTTTCTGCATGTGTTTTTGTCTAGGCATTCGGCCACCAGAGCGACGATCTTTTCATTGGTTGCCACCTGCTTCGAATTCACAGATGTCCCAGTCTTTTGGCGTCAGTTTGTTTTCTTTCTCGTCCAAGCCCCTATCTTTGTTTCAGATCACTAAACTAGCCTCCTTCCTTTTGGGTATCACGTAATGCACACAGCCATCCTGTTGGTCTACTTCCTAGTCCTGTTTTCGATCACCATGCGGCGCCAGATCGCACACATGAGGAGATACAAATACGTCCCCTGGGATTATATGGTAAGTGTCCCCATCTCTATTACCCCACTGTCCTCTTCTCCACTTTCAGGACGATTCTGCTTCCTGGTTCCTGCGATTGGAGATTTGTGGTGATCTTATTTTAACTACTACGATTTTTTATGATCTCTTATTTTTTGTCATAGCGGAAGGCTCGATACACCGGCTCGAAATAATCCTCCGACACGCCTGGCCTTCTTCATCTTTTTTTTTTTGTGTGTGTGTAGTGTGTTGTTGTGGGAGTCCCTTCCGAGAAAACAAAAAGAAGATCTCCGGATGGGTTTCTTTTTTGAATCAGGAAGATATTGTTGCTTGTTTTAATACTGCAGAGTGGGGGCGCTTGTCTGGGTTGTGTGGATGACGATGTCGACCCATGATTCTTCTGGTTACATGGAGGGAGAACTAGACGGATGAACGGTGTTATGCTGGATGGTGGAATGATTTCAACAACTTCGGAACCAGCCCTTCCTCCATTTCGTCCATTCACTCCAACCTCTCTCATCCTCCTCTCTCTTTCATTCATCCTTCTCCTCTTCATCCTCCAAGCATATGTTTTCCCCAAAAACTTATATTCATCCTTCACTTACCTCATCCTTGCCTCCCATATCCCTCACTTTTTTTCTAGTTTTGTCTTTCTTAGAAATAAATGATTCATTCAAAAGAAACATTTGGCCCCATTCATTTACTTTCTGATGATGATGATCATCATCTTTTTTACAATTTGCATCGCTTAAGAAAAAAAACAAGTGCAAAAAAAGGGAAAGGATCAACAAAAGAAGCAAAAGTATCTTGCCTCATTATCTCCATCTTATTAAAAAAAGGACCAAAGAATGAAGATTGACATTGCAAGAGACCACCAGTTAAGAAACAACCAGTTGATCTACAGGATACTTCAGCAGCGTACCTGGATGCCAACTGGCAGCTTCTGTGTTTTGTTTTTTCTTGGGGGGGGGGGGGTTATGATAATGATGATAAAATAGGGTAATGGTCTTTTTTGATGAATTTGGCAGGGCTGGCAATTGGTTGGAAGATGGTGCCCACTCGCTTCTGGCGCCCGGCTGCCTGTCTACTTAGCATGTTCAGTGCGGTTCTTGAAGAAGCTCCTCAGAGGTGTTGCTTCAAAAGAAAACGATTGATCAAAAACAGAATGAGGTGGTGATTCTGTTCCAGCGGGGTGAATTAGGGTGAATTCAATCTGGTGTAGAGATTCTATCTATCGACTTAAAATGGCTGGAAAGTGGACACAGAAGAAACCATGATGGATATGTACGCAAAAGAGAACACAGACTGTGACCCATCATTTTGTTCACAAAATTTTGAAAAAAAGATATTAAGAAAAAACCAAGCGACCTGACAATATATACATTCAATTTCAAGCAATGCGGTTTCAAATTATTAGTAACCAAGTAGCAAGTGGCATTTAATGATATTGCCTGTAACTTCCATATGAGTCCGCCCAGCTTGACCAATCTTGACCATGAGGGGTATGTGCATCACCCGATCCATGTGCGTCTTGATGAGAGTAGTCGTGGTTCTGCTGATGAGACGGAACACCAACCCAGTCTGGCACAACCGATCCATGCTGATGAGGGTAGTCATAATTCTCCCCATAACCAAAGGAAAGCCTGTTATATGAATCACCGTGATGATCATAAGGATCTAGAGATAAAGAGGCTTGAAGTTGCTGGGCGATTTCTTCTTCCCTTCTGTGATCCGCATAATTGTATCCATGTTGATTAACATGGTCGTAGTTATGGTTGTTGCCCAAAAAGTCAGTGACAACATCGTAAGGAATGTCCCCAGTGTGAGGGGCATACTCTTCATATTGCAGCCTGCGAGCCAACGCTTGATCATTGAGTGTCTGTGACTGAGGATGTGGCTGGGGAACATGATCACTCGAAGGCAAATGTCTCTGGTCATAACCACTATGTTGCGGCTGATAAGGGTGATGGTGCGTAGGGTACGGAGTGTTATCCTGGGGTTCTTGCGGAATTGAATGAGCATCCTCCGAGGCAGCAAGATGCGAAAGGTCTTCTGCGTCTGATTCAGAAAGATGCGAAAGGTTTTCTGCTTCCGAGACATCGTCTGCGTGTGAGGCGTCTGGGGGAGAGGCCCCAAGAGGACTACCTGGAACAGGTGGAGAAGCCGTCGGTGGGGGCCCTACTTGGGGTGGCGGGTCTTTCTTTCCTGCTTTAAAACCCCGAAGAGCGGATTTCCACTTGAGTGACGGGATGCTGTTGCTTTTCTGGATTCATGACCAAGTTTTAGTTGTCGCACTTTTTCCTGAATAGAACCCAACAGTATCACTCACAATGTCAGCTAAACTCTTGGGAAGTTTCCATTTCTTCGAGGAGCGAGCGCTACTTGATCCGCTAGCAATTTCCTTAAGTCCATCCGCCGAACCGATCATCTCACTCGCGGAAGATTGATGGACCGCTTGGTCGAGCTTATTGAGAAAGTAGAATTGCAGAAATAGAATAATCAGCTTCATATTTCGGATACGTCAAGAAGAATGGAGAATTTCTCACCAGGAAGACTGCTAGTAGACAGAAGCGAAGTAGCATCATTTCTAAGGGAAGGAGTATCAATGGCCAAGGGAACTTGTGGACTGGAGGGAAGAATGATGGTTAACGCCGTCCCAAATTCTCACTTCTTATATAGGGTTTGCCCCCTCCCCTCACCCCCAGTGCCCGCACACACAAAATGAGTCTCAAGGCTGAAAGCCTCAGGATCCTTGGGCCGGTTGAGTTCTGTCATGCCTGCCAGCGGGGCATCAATACTCTTTACTAGTTGGGAATATACGTTTCTCCAAACAACTAGAGAAATAAATTCTGAACGGGCGACAGAAGAGGAAACGCAGCGCCGGAAATAGCTGATATCGATGAGCTGTAATCCTGAATGACTATCGAGAAAAATTGTAACAAATCGCGTATGTAGGAGTCCACTCATGGCGGGATCCCAAGACAGAGTCGAGGACGTCTCCCGGATCAAACGTTTCAAGCTACCATTAAACCTGTCCCAAGGACTCCTGCTCGAGATATGTAAGCATCGGTGGGTGCGTAATCAACAACGGCCCAAAGACAATCCGGATCTCAAGTGCCCTAGGACGGTTTCGAAAAATTATCTGGAAGGCGCTTCAAGTTCTGGATGGTTCAGTCACTGGTAGACGTTTTGTGCGAGTGATAGGGATGAAGTTTCCTCGTTACAAAGGGGATTTGTATAATGTAATCCGGAACTATTATATTGTATTCGAAAACTTGTAACAAATTGCTTAGATCCCTTCACGGCGGGATCTTGTGTTGTGAGACGTAGAGTCAAGAACGTATAAGGACGTCTATGTATAGGGGAAACGCTTCAAATAACCCCCTGTCTCAAGGACTCCTTCCCGAGACAGGCAACGGAGGATGAGTAATCAACGGCCCCAAGGACAATCCAGATCTTAAGTGGCCCCGAGGAAATCTACGAAGAGTCATCAGGACCAGTGGCATCTAAAAAAGAAACTTGACAAAAGTTCTGGTTGGCTCAATCACTCGGAGACGTTTTGTTCAAGTGGAACAGGGATGATTTCATTTAAATTGTTACAAATTAAGCTAGCTTAGCACAATCCCCTGGAACCCCAGCATGCCGGGGGCGCCTCGCCAAGCGAGAGCTCTCCTCTCTCACAGGGCCGCTTTGCGAGGTGCCCCCGGCACGGACACGAGGGGAGTGAGTTAAGGTAGACAAGTAAGGGAGTTCGTAATCCGGGATTATTGTCGAAGAATTTGTAACAACCCACGTGCCGGGACCTTGTGTTGTTCGAGTCAAGGATGTCTACACCAAGGGGCACGTTTCAAGCTAATCACCCTGCTCGAAGGAATTCTTGCAAGAGTAATCAACGGTCCCAAGGACAATCCAGGCCTTCAGTTACACCAACTTTGAGCTGACTTAACACAAGCCCCTCAATTGGAGGGCCTGGTAGGACCTTGGCAAGCCCCCCAAGAGGGGGGGGGGGGGTGTTGAAAAAGGTATGAAAAATAGGCAAAATTGCCAATAACATATCCTTGAAGAAGCCTAAAAAAGGTATGAATTAGTAATTTTGGCCAAAAGGTTACTGTTGAAATTGCTCATTTCAGGTATGTGAAACTGGCCCAAACCAGTAGACTCTTGAATTTGGACCCCCTAAAACCAGGATTTTTTTGGGGAAACCCCTTTTGTGGGGGGATTTTGGCCCAAAGATACTCTTGAAAAGGTATGAATTTCCCCAAAAAGAGGTATAAATTTTGGCAAAATTCTGACTTTTTCAGCACCGCCTTATTGGGAGAGCACAACAACACCTCTGCCTGACAGAATCTGGAAGCAATCAGTAGACCAGAAATACATAATTAAATGTAGATCTCTGCGTATCAGTTACAGACAGGTGATCCTACTATGTATCTGTTCAGGTTGCACAGTAATGAGACAAGCTTTCATTAACATAACAGCAAGTTTTATTTTTTGTCTATCTGAGGAACAGAGAAGCTGTACATGGGCAGCACATTCCATCAACTCTACAACACAACTTCCCTGTATTGAAGATGATTCCCTGACCTCTTGGCCCCTTGCCCAGCTTGCCATGATGTGTACTGCTCAAAGTTTTTATGGCACATTGAAGCAAATGGTGTAGTGTGCCAAATGTGTTTCAAGTGACAAATTGCATATAGTCATGATCCAATCTTGATATGAGGCTATATTCTTGGTGTTATTATTGCTTAAATAGATTCTACAGGTCATTTAACTCATAGTCACTCACTGGAACCACTAGGCTAGCTCCACTCAGTCAAAATTCAATTGGATAAAACAGTTTTTCATTACAGCTTAGTATAGTTGTTCCTGTGTAGTAGATAGTAGCGGGGTTCACAACACAGATTTTGAATCCTGACCCGCGTCAAACTGAATATAAAATTAAGATTTCCTGAGCTTAATTTATGCTAAAATTAAGCTCAGAATTCACATCTCAGGAACCATAATCGGTTCCTGAGCTCAGATTTTCAACTCATAAAATTATTAAAATTGTGATAACGAGAAAACTCTTGCTCAGGCCCTCTGTAAACCCCCCTCTCCAAGCCAAACACCCAACTTCCTCGGTACGCGTCATCGTCTGGTGATTTTGATCACTCGTAAAAGTAACACCATCCGCATCGCCATCAGCTCTCCCTTCTAAGTTGGAAGTAAGTTCATCTCACTTCTGTTTGAATTCACAACTTATCTGAATTTACCTTGTTCTCTCTGTGATTAGATTGAACTTGACAAAGGGCCATCATTTTAAACAGCTCGAAACCAGTGACTGTACCCAAATCATCAACGATGGTGAGTGTGTCTGAACTATCAAGTTGATACAAGTTGACTGTATGTATGGGGTAGCTTAGATGAATGTACTCAATCTCTTCACAGACAAACGAAACAGTCGATCCATCCCTTCTTGCGATGTCTCAGGAAATATCTGAGGTCAGGCCGGACTTGCCGGACTTGACCATCCCAGCCGCTTTGAATCAAGCCGCAGATTCCTCAACTACTCCAAAGCCAAAACGAAACCGCCGTACCAATGCCGAGATGGAGATCTACAGGGCCAGCCAAGAAATCGAGAAATCGACTTCAAAGAAAACCAACAACGAGAAAGAGTATAAATATTGGGTTCCAACTGCTAGACGCTTGGCTGCCCTCAAGAAAAATTCTAATGCACACCGTTCAGCAGCAAAGCCAGCAACTAGTACGAGCAGAACTGCAGACGCCAATCCTCAGTTTATTGCGACCGACTATCAGCTTATTTGTAGTTACCTTGAAGATCCCCAACACTACACCCAAATATATGGAAACGGTACTAGAACATCGGTTGGCCCTCAATCTCTAACTAAGGGTGCAGCATACGATGTGTTTGCTATCTACATGAACGACCAGACCAACAAACGACTTCACCTTGATGGGAAGCTCCTCCGACAACGTATCGAGGCTTACAAGAAGAGATTCACCAACGCTAAGCATTGGGCTGATACGACTGGAGCTGGTATCGATATCTGTGATAATGGGATCACCATCAAAGCTAAGTTAGAATCGATGTGCCCCTGCTATGAGAGAATGGATCAGATTTTTGGAGGCAAGCCAAATGTTACACCGGCAGCTCAATATGAGTCTCAAGGCGGGATGGAGCTATACGATCAACCAATGGATGACGACCGACTTCGATCCACCGAGTTGTTTTGCTCCAATCGGGAGGTAAATGAAAATCAAGAGACTTTGTCAGCCCAAGATCAACCTGAAGATCAATCTCACATTGCTGCTGCCGGTGAAGAAACCACCATGGGAGGAAATGCTGAGTTACCTGAAGGTGAGTTGTTGGTAGCTTTCAGATGCACTAATCAAGTGCTGACTCCACATTCTCGGAGCATTGCAGAACCAAATACCAGGTCTACTCCAGCCTTGCAAGCAGAAACCCGTCTTTCTGTCCAATCTCAGCTGTTGCCGCATCAATTGTCCATCCAAACTGGGACCAATCAGCCCCGTCGCACCATGGCATCAATTCTCGGCAACCTCCAGAGGTCGGTTGCCCTTGATGAGGCTGAAGATGCTGCAGATGAAGTCGAAGATCCACCAATCAAACCTGGTCCCTCTCAAGGTCGTTTTCCAAATCAGAATGCGGACAACCAATCAGTTCCGGGACCAAGACGAGAACCAACCGGAAACCAAAAGGGAAAGTCAACTGTTGCAGCTGCATTCAAATCATCGGCCGACAAAAAATTCTCCTACCTCGACAAGCATATGGCTATGGAAGAGCGTAAGTTTGAATGGGAGAAAAAAAAACATTCAGCTGAACAAAATAATTCAACTAAACAAGCCGATGCCAAGTTACGTATGGCTGAAAAGCTGATGAGTGAGGGACGAAGCGCTGCCGAGATTGAGATCATCATGAGATGTGCATTCTAGGTTTTTTATTCCTCTCCAATGTGACACTGTAACTTGAATGCAAATCTCTGCATGTATCTAAAAGTTGTTTCAAAGTGTTCTCACTTGGATTTTAGTATTTACACAGCTCATAATCAATCAGATTCACACTATATTAAAAAATGATCGGAATATTTATAAGACACAGAATATCTAGCTATGTATGTACAAGCCTAAAAGGAAACAAGCAAAAAAAGACAAAGACAAAAGACGAGTGAAGTGTTGCAAGGAGATATAATGAATTGATACACATTTTAATAGTCACTTTGGAAGTTGACTTGTGATTCTTTCTCAGTTTGAGTTGCCGTTCTTTGGGTCAAAACCAAATTTGTCTTTTTTGTCTGGTGCACTTGCAGACGCTCCTCTAACACCCTTGACTAGCATATGCACTCTCAACCACCCTCGTCATTATCCTCCTCCTCCTCCTCATCCTCGATGAACAGTCAGACCAAGTTCTTGTCCGTCTCGGGAGCTGCCGCTGCGACCCCATTCACTAACTTTAGTAAGATCGTCGACCCCTCCGGCAGACTCAATTTCGGCGGAAAGGCCGTCGTCCATTCCCATGGCGTCGACTTCTCCAACGGATCCTCCTTCTCTATCAATATGAACGAATTGACTCTCATGGAAGAATTGGGTAAAGGTAATTATGGTACCGTCCAGAAAGTCTTCCATAAACCTACCAAAGTGGTCATGGCAATGAAAGTCAGTTGAAAAATCCTTATTGGACCAATTTTGGATTCAACTGTTCTTTTTGTTTTTTAACTGAAAGTTTTTTGTTTTTTTATTTTGGGTTGGAACTAGGAAATTAGATTAGAGTTAGATGATTCAAAGCTCAAAGCAATTCTCACCGAGCTCAATATCTTGCATTGAGCAACCTCAGATACAATTGTCGAGTTCTATGGCGCCTTCTTTATCGAATCTTGTGTCTACTACTGCATGGAATATATGGATGGTGGAAGTTTGGATAAGTTGGCGGGCGCTGATGTTCCGGAGCCCGTCCTGGCTAGAGTCACCGGGAGGGTTGTTGAAGGGTTGCGGTTCCTCAAGGATGAGTTACAGACTATACATCGAGGTATGTCAGAGATTTTGATGATTTCTTCCAGGGGGATTACAAGAAAGGATGACTGATAGATAGGATCGTTTTGATAGATGTCAAGCCAACAAATGTGTTGATCAACTAGAAGGGAGAGACCAAGTTGTGTGACTTCGGAGTGTCGGGTCAACTGGAGAGATCGTTAGCGAAGACGAACATCGGATGTCAATCGTACATGATCAGGATTGGATGAGGAAGTGAGAGCGTTGACCAAACGTTGAAGTAAACGTTCTTTGTCAACCGTGCTGGGCATCGTCTCATCTCTACCGCTAATCAAGACCATTGCTGCCACCCCATTCTGGGCCACCGGTGCTAAGTGAGTCGCGAGGAGTTCTAGGGGAAGGTCAGAGGAAAAGAAGTCTTCGCCTGTTGGATAATCTTCCAATGATCTGGCCAGACTGAGCCACCTTGAAGCTGAGATTGCACATCGTCCACCCGAAAACATGTCCGAAAACTCACAGGGAATCGCTGCGTTGACTTGGCCGGCGTCGACAAGCTGAGTCAGATTGAGTCAAAACGAATGATCACCTTTCCTCCGTGAGGAAGCGAAGAATCACGTCGATAGGTCTTGATTGCCAGTCGCAGTCGAGTTACTGTTGCCAGTCGCAGTGGATTAGGATCCTGAAGGATTGAGGAAAGGAAACCTTTGATCCTCCGTTCGGACGAGATTCTTGACGATCGAGCTTTCCGAATAGCTGTTGATCAGACTGTTGAGTTTGATGATCTTCAAATCCGGCTCGATCAAATCCGACCGACTCAAGAAGTGATCCCCTTGCACAAAGGTTTGCTCGATGTGATAATAGGTTTCCAATCGCAGTTTGAGATGGATTGTGAATAGGATCGTTTGAGCCAAAGTAAAAAATGATTGGTGGACAAATTGAAAGGCAGAATGGATCCCAAATGGTAGGTATGGGCCAACCTCGACTGTACGCCAAAGGCCAACCCACACCACAATGGGGAGGGGGATGGACTGTACGCCCGATCACCCCAGCCCACAGCACCAGAGGGATCCAATCATCTGAATGAAATCTACATTCTTGCTTCCTGTTCTATCTGCGTGTCCCTAGTATCCAAAGAATTGATTTGTCAGTCAGAGAGCTCGGTATGTACCCCCCAAAAGAAACATAGAGGAAGAGAAATTGAACTGGATCTAGGTTAGAAAGAGATAGAGTCTCAGGAGCCAAGTCTGTTAAGATACAATGACTTGTCAAGAGTCTGAGAACTGAAAACTGTCAAGCACACACCATCAACTGTCACACCATCAACTTTCACAAGCCATCAACCAAGATACTGTCGTTCGGTCAATATTGATTCATTCAAAGATTATTTAAGAAGGGATAGGCAGAGTTCCGATGTGGTGGTTGATTTCAAGACACTTTCTTTGAATTTCATCGCGATGTACCACATGGCTTGCTTGCTGTTGAGCCATGGCTGCTGCCTCAAGACCTCCATCTTCCCCAGCAAGATCCATTTCATCCCACGAGTCCCCAAGATGAGCGAGCATATTGTGCAAAGCCACACATGCATTGATCCATCGCAAGATTTCCATCATGTCCTTCTGCTCGTTAAGAGAAAGTTGAAGTTGTTGGAGAGATGCCCACCTTCCTTTGAGTATTCCGATGGTATGCTCGTTTCGTACGCGAGATTTGGCAAGACAATAGTTGAATTCTGTGTTTCGATGGACTTTTGATAGTGGAGCTTTGTACGCAGGGATCGTTGTCATTGAAAGTCCATAAGCTGTATCTGCAATCAGATATTGACCTAGGAGGAATAGTCGATCAGTATCATATTCTTCTTTTCTAATTCCGATATGACAAGCTCACCACTGTCAAAATAATTCTCTGGCTCCTTATGGACCTTCATGTTTGTGAATACCAAGCTGTCGCCACAGGATCCAGGCCATCCAGTCATGAACGAAGTGATAAATTTATCGCAATCACAAATCACCTGGCAATTGATTGAATATCGCTTTTTCCGATCCCAATAGACTTCCCCATCAATCCCAGGTCGCTGATGCAAGGGGATTGTAGTGCCGTCAACAAAACCAATACAACCTTTAAACCCTTCCTTTTCCATTACGCCGGATATCTCCTTACGTCGATCCTTATCTGGCCAAACTATGTACTTTGATGAGATTTCGTTGATTGCTTGTATCACACGACGACTGACTTTGACTACGGTCCCACGGCCAACGCTAAGATTGCGAGAGAAGCGCCCAACTGAAGCTCCATTTCCGTTAGATCCAAGTCGTTCCAGTGTGAGGGCCAACTGATGAGGGATAGGAAGTTGAGGTCGAGTACTGTTATTGTAAAAGATAGGATGGATACGGATTTGATTCAAGAGCCAGAGAAATCCGGTTTTAGTTGTCCTAACAGCCTGCTTGAAATCGTTGTCACGCATGTCAAACAATTTTCCAAGATCGTAATCCTCATGGGTAGTTGCTGGTGTACGGAAATTCAAGTATCGATGTTGAAGTAAGTCCTCAAGTATTTCAGCCGCCTCTGTCTCGTCGTCGAAGAAATTTTCCCAGATGAATTGGTAGCTCGGGTTGTCAGGAAAGAGTATCGCGCCAAAGGTTGGGATTGTTGGAAGGTTGGTGATGTCATCGAGCAGCTTGTCAGTGCTCTCTTGGTGATGAAAAGCCATAACAAGAAATACCTCCCTTATGAGTTGTTGACGTTCGCTGAGGCCCCGCATAATTTGATAGGTAGGTGATGGATGAGCGAGTGAGTTTTGTGATTTAGGTACCTGCTACTGTTTCCACTGGGGGGGGGCAGGGTCGATGTCTTCCTCGATCAGTTATAATTCTGTTCATGAATATTACTTAAATTTAGCCTGCGCAGCAGCAGAAGCGGATTCTGAGGTGGCTAAATGGAATCATCAGGAAGTTGTATTGTGAACCCCGCTAGTATAGACTTATTATTTATATACAAGTGCATAGTTACATTTTTGTTTGTACAAGCATTTGTATGATCTCATGTTTAGCCACATGCATGATCACATGCATTGGATCACACATATTTTTACATGACATCACCAGTCACATGCTTTGGGTCACACATATTTTCACAACACACCAGCAAAAATGCCTCAACATAGAAAGAACTTTCTGCAATACATGTGATTTTCTGTATGGGAATCTCCATCTGAATTGGATTCCAACTCTTGGAATAACCCTTGTCATCGGGGGGACCATCACACCAACAGTCCAATTGCCAACATCAGTGTCTCCTATTCTCCTCTCAAACACAACCACCACCAACAGCAAATCAACCTCCTCAACATCAACAAACAGTCGGCAGACCCAGTCAACCAACCATTGATGACATCAGTGCAGTAATTAACAACATTTGTAAGGGAAACCAAAGTCCCAGCAACCCGGCCATATTCAATGGCAAGCCGTGTTCCTACTGTGGGGCGCTGGGCCACTGGCAATCTTCCTGTCCAATACTCTGCAGGGATGCCAACCTTCTGGCACCCAAAACACCTATCACCAGTCGCCCCACTTCTGGTTTTGCCGCCAGGCCACTTCCCCAAATAACCCACCCACAGGTGTTGATCAGCTGTGGGCGCGGATGCAACGGATGCCTCTGGCGCAGGCATTGTTTTGGATTCTGGGGCAACCCATCATGTGAGCAGATCTTTTCACTTGTTTCTTTCTCTCTCCCCTATTGTCCCAGCCATGAAACTGAAATTGGCTTCTTCCAATGGATTGATGATAGAGATGGTCTCAGGCTATCTATTGCAGATACCTGTTATCTATTGCAGATACCTGTTATCTGCTGGCGGATACCCCCTAGCGCCAACGGATACCCGCCAGGGGATACAGATTGGGGTGTGGATGGTCGCTTTTACCCAAAACCCTGGTGGATATCTGGGTATCTCAAAGGATCCCTGAGCCCAAGAGGATGAGAGTGAGAGTGGCCGGCTGGAAGGGTTTCCTTCCAGCCGGAAAGGTACACAAGGTCGGCAAGGCACAACCTCACCGGCCGGAATGTTTTCCTTCCAGCCAGCAAGGTACATGTACTTTTCCGGCTGGAAGGAAAATACCTTGTCAACTGGAAGGAAACCCTTCCACCTTTGGAGTCTTACAATCACACAGGTTGGTAATCACTACACCTTCTGGGATCTGGAATCCTGCTGACATCTATCATGAGGACATGTCTTATTCTCCACAACATGATTTTGGAGGATAACAAGTGTGATTCAACTGACACCTTTGAACTACCACCATCAGTCTCCCTTGTTCCACCTCAAAGTGAACTGTACAGTTTTCACAACCAGCAAGTCTGTTAGCCTTAGAGATACTCCATAGTATCCAAAAGACTGCTAAAATATTAAATATTAAATATCAAATACTCAATATGTAATATATTATGTAACAATATTATTTAATAAAACAATATTTTATAAGATTATAAATGGGTTTTCCCACTGGAAGTATCCCCAAATTCCTGCTCCTTCAAGGACTTTGTATATATTCAAATTCTTGAAGGACAAAAGGAATAAAAATTATAAATTATAGAATAAAATTAATGTATATCAAATTAGGGTTAAATATACATTTAAATTAACCTTTGAAATTTTATTCTACAAGCATAATCAATTTATTAAACTTGTAGAAAAGAAATTAACACACCATGTCAAGAGTGTGGCACTTTCTACTAGTAATGTTCTATTTAAAGGAAACACATGATGTAATTTGAGAAAAATTTACAATTTTATTATTGAAGACCAGAAACCAGACTGCAAAGAGAGTTAGAGAATGTACAATCAAGCAATGACAGAAAACAGTCAGTGAAAAAAGAGAAGAAATGTACCACAACAGTTATAAAGAATTCAGAAAAGAGCAACCGATGATCGGACAGGGAACAATGAACAGGAATGTGTTTTCAATTAAACAAAAGGGATTAGCATGAGAGAGGAGATGGTGAGTTGAGTTGGTTCCTTTTCTCACCAAATGGAATCAAGCAATGTGATCCTTGAGTTGATAGTTGATCAACAACGTTGATGAGTTCTTTGTTGGGATTTGAGAGTTGGTTTGGCGAGTTGAAGCGGTGATGGTGAGAGTGTTGAGGATGAGTCTTGTGAGTCCGCGAGATGATTGAGGATTAGCAGATGAAGAGTTGGAAGACTGAGGAAGAAGCTGGCTTTTATTAGAGATGGTCAAAGGATATCCCTTGCGGATATCTGTTATCCGCTGGCGGATACCCGCCAGCGGGTGCGGATTCGGGTGCGGATGTCCTGTTTCCCCTAAAATCCAGGCGGATATCAGGGTATCCCAAGGGATACCCGGTGCCAAGACAGTTAAAATATTTTTTTTACCAAAAAAAAAGAAAAAAAGGGCCTTAATAAAAAAACACGGTTTTTCCGCGTTTTGACGCGGTTTTGATGCGCCGCAGCACACGCGGTTTCCGCTTTTAGACGCGGTTTTTTAATTAATTTTTTAAGGGTTATTTTGACGCGGTTTTTTAATTAATTTTTTATGGGTTATTTTTTGAGTTTTTTTGAATTTTTAAAGTTGTTTCCTACACTATAAAAGGCGTAGAATTCAATGGTAAAAACCATTTTTCATAAAAATGAATTTTGATTATTAATTATTTTTTTTCACTCATTTCTCAATTAATTGTTTGCATACATGTATGTACCTTATTTTTCACGTTTTTTTTGAAATTTTAAATTTATTTCCTGGGTTTTAATGTGCTTAGAATTTGATGGCGCAATCCAATTTTCATAAAAATGAATGGTTCATTTTTAATACTGAAATTAGACCCATTTTTTCACTTAATTTTTTACAGCTTAATTCTCATCATTTTTTGACATTTTAAATTTATTTCCCACACTTTAAGACATGTAGAAAATGATGGTAACAACCATTTTTCCCCAAAATGAAAACTACACCTTGAATGCCGCATTTGACACGTTTTTTTTAATTAATTCATCACTTTTTCACTTAATTGTTTGCATACATGTGTGTACCTTATTTTCTATGCTTTTTTTGAAATTTTAAAGTTGTTTCCTACATTTAAAAGTGTGTAAAATTTAATGGTAACATTCAATTCCCATAAAACTCAACGGTTCATTCTGGATACTGTAATTGGTCATATTTTTCAATTGATTTTTAAGAGCTTAATTTTCATTATTTTTTGACATTTTAAATTTGTTTCCTACACTTTCAAACATTTATAAA